TTTCTGCATGGAACAAAACTAGGGGATTTAAACAAAGTTAAGCCAATTGTCGGCTAGTTTAAAGTTCCAAGCGTGTACAACAAGGCTAATATGCACGCACACTGGATTAACTATGGCTGAGGCTATTAACAAAGGGCTGTTATTGCTTCTTTTGTGCGCGCAAGTTTATTAATTCCAATATAGGCGTGCGACTTGCACGCTAATATTAGGAGCGACACGCATGCAGCACAACACGCCGCGAGCGTACTGCAAGTCACGAAACAGATCAGCGTCATACTTTGTATGGAATATACACATTTCTACATTAAAGAGATAAAGAAAAATACTAAATAAAAAATACTAAACAATTGTGCAATATAGTTGATCAAAAGTGCCTTTCAGACAGAGGTTCAGCAGCCTTTGACTACATTTGTTCTCTTTAAAAGGAAGATTAGCGAGTATGAAGCTTAAATTTACATTAGACAAACACAATTTTTATTATTTAATTAAATTTAAATTTATTTATTAATTGTTCTGTCGTTTATTGTCAGCGTACAATTGTTACTTATGTTTAAATGCCAAAAATGTTTTTTCAGTTCCAAAGGTAAACGGGCTATTATTTGTTTTCTGTGCTGTGTTGATTGGTTACTGAGCAACAATAGACAACACTTTAAAATATAAGAAGTTTTCATGTGATTTACTAAACTAGTCATGTTTTGAAATTAATGAATCCATAATAATCGCTATAACTGTGAAACTGTGATTATTCCCCAGACTATAATCTTACAATTAAAATCTATAATCGTTGCATCCTTAACTGGGAGTACACTAACTTAGTAAAAAGTGAAAAAGAAAAAAGTGAAAGTCAAAGTTGTGGTCAAGTATGGCCACCCATACTCTGAAATTGTGCTCTGCATTTAACCTATTCAAGAGCACACACACAGAAGTGAACACCCACCCACACAAGGAGCAGGAAAACACCTTGTTCAAGGAACTCAACTCAGCACTGGGATAATGAGCATTGTAGTATTGAGGGGGGAGAGATCGCTGGCTATTCGCTCTCACCACAGACAATCCCTCCAAGAGACTCCCAAGACTTGAATCTGTGACCTTCCGATCACAATTCCAACTCTCTAACCATTAAAGGCAATTAGTTTAACCATTCGTTTATCCAAATTACTATACCATAATATAAGCACTTGTTTTGGTTTTCGGTTTTTCTCTTAGTGAATCAAACTCAGTCTATAGTTTATGAATATCAGAAGATTATACTTTACTGTCAACAACAAAGGAGATTTTTCAGGAGACCCCCAGTAGCATCTCTGCCTGAAAATTCTGCCTCACTGATGTTCTGGCCTGCTTATATACTCTTTTGCAGCTGTTTTTCACATTGTTCTATATTCGTCACACAAGATCCCACCTAGTTTTAACCCCTGACCCAAACCTGATAATCATATATCTTATCCATCTATACTTAACTGTTTCCACATGTGTTGCTCTATTCTCATCCATTTCTTGTGACACCTTAGTTGTTTACTCAGGCTATCTCCCGCTCTCTTCTCATCCAGTTCTTGTGATCCTTAGTTCTTTACTCAGACCATCTCCCCTTTCTAACTCTACATAGTACCTTAATTCTTCTAATGGTATGTAAGTCTACAAGCAGATTATACACATACAATGTGAATCTATAGATTAACTTCACACTTTAAAGAGTATAAAATTCACTTCACACTCAGAGGAAACCCACACAGACACAGGGAGAACATGCAAACACCTCACAGGAATGCCTCCTAGTCCAACACAACTCGAATCAGCGACCTTCTTGCTGTGAGATGACTGTGCTGCTAACCACTGAGTCACCGTGCCACCCATTGGCTAAGAATTCATAAGAAACAAAATGTTTTTAAGTATATTCTTACTCAGATTTTTAATTTAAGGAGAGCGCTGAACCTGCCTCAGGTGATAACAGGCCTTAGCTCCGGAAGGCCAGAGGAAGTGCAAGGCAGGTGACAAAGGTGATGACTGGACAAAAGCACAGGGAACCAGATATCCTGAACTCTCAGCTTACAGGTGAGGAACCAATCTGGCTGCCAGGCAAAGGGAACCAGCAGTCAGAGAAGACTCAGGCCCCGTTTACACTAGTGCGTTTTAGTTTGAAAACGCATAAGTTTTGCTACGGTTATGCCATCCGTCCACACTACGCCGGAGTTCTCGAGCGCCGAAAACGGAGCTTTTTGAAAACGCTGGAGAGGCCGTTTTCATTCTAAAACGCTGCTGCTCCGTCTCAGTGTGGATGGGGAAAGACGGAGACATCTGAAAACGGAGGCGGGGCTGCAAACGTTCACCTATCTGATTGGGGCTTTTCCTCAATATTAAGTAGCCTAACACACACAGTTCAGTCCTGCATCCTCTTCTTGTAAGTTAAGACTTCGCAAGTTTGATCAAGGCTGCAGTCTCCCCCTTTTCAGTTTGATATGGAAAACAGACTATACCGAGGACACGCGTAAATCTTCAAAGGGAACAGTGTACTTTATAACTTCATTCACATCACCTTGGCTACGTTGTTTCACTTTCTCAACAATAAAATGTAAACATGATTTAAGGAACTGCCTATTTTCTTTTTAATATTTGCAACTTAACAGACAGCAGAAATGTTGAGGCGTCGTGCTGCATATATGAGTGTCATCTTCACTGTGTGGATATTTATGTTGGAAAGTATGTATAAGGTGTCATTTATCAGTTCTGTGTTGAAGCTTATAATGCAACACCAATTAAAGCATTTCAAACAACAAAATTATAAATTATAAGGAAAGTTTTTAGATTTTTTTATTTTAAAGTTCTAAGTTAGATCCACTGTTGGATGTTGCTGCCATATGGCAACATTTCAAAAAAATAAAATTGTCAATTTTTTTTTACAGCACTGCAAATTAAGCCATGTCAAGAAAAGGAAAACTATCAAATATTTTTTTAACAGATTGATCATAATGTGTGCGGTGGAGGGTTTAATAAATAATGTTCATTTAAAAGTCAGTAAAGTTTTATCTTTAAAAATGTATTAATATGTAACGGCTTTTGATTTGGAGCAAGATGCTGTTGTAGTGGCTTTATCGTCTCTGATGTGTTGCTTTACATCTGAATGGTGGAAATGTTGCTATGACAATGATGAACAAAGATAAAAGCCATACCACTTTCCTTTAATACAGAGTTTGTGTAATCTAGACTGAAACTTCCCTGGCTAACCAGCTTAACCAGCTTTGTGGTTTTGTTAAGCCTGAAATGAGGAAAACTCTGTTTTTTTTATACAGAATAGGTATCTCAGACCTGAGAAAGCAGGGAAAGTCAGTCCCATTTCTGGATCTCATCGATCCCAGAGGCTCTGCGCTGGTAGTGGAAATTCTAAAAAAAGTCTAAACAAAAACCAACAACACATATGATTGGGTAAGATTGACAACAAGTTGGAAGTGTTTTTCAACTGGAATACTATGAGCTTTAGTATATTAGAAAAATGGTCAGTCCCATTTCTGAAAGGGAGGTAACTTTTACATTTCTTAGCAGGTTTTCTTTGGTAAACCCAGTATTTATTTCTTCTCCTTTTTGAAGATGAAGCATTTAAATACCTCATTCATTCTCAAGCTGCTACTAATTTAGCAAGTAATTTAACCCTCTTTATATTGATTTTTTTAATTTTTATTTTTATGCAGAATTATTTAGGCTATAGACTTAAAAATGTTTTATTTGATCATTTTTTACTTACAATCTTGGCTTAATTTGTGCTGGAATAAACCAGAGACGAGTGACGGAAATTAAATATCTGGGAAATTGGCAGATATTGACCTAAAGTTAAAGTATATTCCTACTGTTTCAGCTCTCTTCTTTCTCCTGCCAGACGACCTCAGCTGTCTGTCACTTTACGAAAGTGTTTGTGACAAATAAAGGCCTGATTTGATTTGATACACACACACACACACACACACACACACACACACACACACACACACACACACACACACACACACACACATATATATATATATATATATATATATATATATATATATATATATATATATATATATATATATATATATACACACACACACACACACACACACACATATATATTATATATATATATTATATATAAGCGTCTCTATTAAAAAAGTTTTTACATTTTTATAAATAGCTAAATTAAATTAGACTTTCAGAAAAAAACTAAACAATTCAGGTGTAACAAATTACAGTAATTATTTTAAGTTGGTTCAAAGTTTAATTTTTTCAGTGTAGCCTGGGATGGAACTTTTACATTCCTGGCAGTCCATATTACATTGAGAAAGTGAAAACGAAACCAGGTGCTGTATTATAGTGCGCGCGAGCGCACACATTATAATATAAATAAATATATCGCCTTTAAAATAACAGATTTTAACTGTTTTCCATGGTAGTGTAACAATTATTTGTTTATCCATCCATCCATCCATCCATCCACCAAATGACAATAAACGTGGGACACCCAGTTTTTCTGATGCACACCCAGAAATCTCTTTTCTGTCTATGCTGTGCTGTGCTTTAACGTCGGAAATTATTAATAACACAGCAAAATGTTTACATATCTTTTAGCAGTGCTTTTTGCACAGGTAATTATGTAAAAGGTTGTCGAAAAATAATACATTTAATTATTACCGATTTGTAACAGTGTTATGGAAGATGAACCTATATATAAACATAAAACACATTACAATTATTTTTTTATGTTTTATGACTGAACAAAACTTTGAATAGAACATTTTATTGAGGTAAATTAATTTCCATTACATTATATTGCATATTTTGAATACAGTATACTTGCTCTACGAGTTTTGCACGTTACTTATATACTGTAACGTTAGGCTACTATTATTCACAATAATATAGGTGACTGTTGTCTGTTGTTGACTCACAAATCGAGTTTATGTCACCAAGGCTGAGCACACTGCGGTTTCCTGCTGTTGTAGTGAACTTGAAGCGGCTTCCTGTTAAAATGAGACCAACCCGCCTTCGTTTGTACTTCGACAAGCGACATCAAACTATTTCACTCGAGACGAAAATAAAGCGTTCACGTTTGACATCACAGCCGAGACATATTAGGCATATCATATCCTCAACAACAATTGCTGTGGCTGAAAGCTAAATATATTGACTGCTGAATATTAAATAGGAAGGAGGACAGGAATGACCAGCACCGTTTCTAGGAGGGGCATAATTTGCGAGTTTACCTGCAGGAAGGTGAGCTCTGTGCGGAACAGATACCCCGGCGCCTCCCTCGTCGACTGTTTCTGTTTCTCCCTCCCCCATTCAACCGTCAACATGGACCGTACACCTGCACTTTTTACTCAGGATTACTCTTGTATTATAAAATCACCATCTATTTAAGGTCTCGAGAACATCACAGTCTGTTTTAGGAGTCAACCGGTGGTCTCGATGAAACCATTAAGTGAACTATGTAGTGAGCATCTGAAAAAAAGCGCTGCGGAGATGCCGACTGAGGAGGCGAGAACTGCACCTGGAAACGGTGTGATCACAACACCTTCAACAGAGGTAATTTAAACACCGATACTTGACCTAAAGCTGAATAAATAGATATTTTTGAGTTTTATGAGTTTTGAAAGAAACTCGGATTCGTTTCAATATTGCTGTCGATGTAACACAACTCGTCTGTCTTCATTCCTCTCCATGGCTGACTGTTTTTTAACTCGTAAAGGTTTGTTTGTATTGTTATGAAGGGTAAAGGGTTAATGACTGAAAGTTTTGTCATCATTTATCCTCCCTCAACTTGTCCCAATCATATTTCATTTCTATTTTCTGCTGAACTTGAAGTTATTTTGAAAAATTTTGGAAACCGGTAGCCCTTGACATCCATTTTATTTGTCCCTATATGGAATTCAGTGACTAACGTTAGAAGTTTTTTATCAGTATTTTGTCAAAATATCTTCTCTTGGGTTCAACGGAAAAATAAACTAATACATAAAATTGGCTTAACTTAAGGGTGTATGAATGTTCATTTATTGGTGAACTATCCTTTTAATAAGTGATTCAGGTAAACATGAAAATTATGTTATTATTTAGTTACTTATATACAGTTGAAGTCAGAATTATTAGCCTCCCTGTTTATTTCCCCCCATTTTTCTATTTCTGTTTAACGGAGAGAAACATAATAGTTTTAAGAACTCATTTCTAATAACTGATTTATTTTATATTTGCCATGATGGCAGTAAATAATGTTTTATTAGAGGGGTTTCAAGATGGTTTTCTTCTATACAGCTTAAAGTGACATTTAAAGGTTTAACTAGGTTAATTAGGTTAACTAGGCAGGTTAGGGTAATTAGGCAAGTTATTGTATAATGATGGTTTGTTCTGTAGACTATCGAAATAATAAATAGCTTAAAGGGGCTAATAATTTTGAACTTAAAATGTTTTTTAAAAAATAGTTATATTTATTTTATTATATATATATTATTTTATTATATTATTATAAGTTATATATTATATATAACTTTTATTATAGTTTAAATAAAACAAATAAGACTTTCTCCAGAAGAAAAAATATTATCAGACATACTGTAAAAATTTTCTTGCTCTGTTAAACATCATCTGGAAAATATTTTTAAAAGAAAAAAATTCAACGAGGGGTTAATAATTCTGACTTCAGCTGTAGATCTAGAAACATTTTTAATCTTGTCTTTCACACTTAAAGGGATTTACAGTAACAGTCATCGTTTACTTTTAATGGCATCGTCTTTTTACCCACTGCAAGTTAATTCAGCTAGTTTACATGGACCAATGAGCAATGTAAATTGAATGAATGTCAGTAAGCTCTAAGTGCATCAGAAAAAGAAATAAACACTATCAAATCTGTAGCTACCTAACATGATATTGTGATTGCTGCTCTAAAATATATTCTTTTGAAATGTCTGGGTAAAAACATACTTTTTTCCCCCTTGAACACAATATATTTTAATTTGGGAAACATTTAAAATAGTTTGGAGCAGTAAACATGTCAGGCTTGACAAACAAGTCAATTATTGACTCCTGCTGTCTTCTTTAGTTTAAAAAACACAGATTTCTTTACAATTTAAAACAGCATTTTTGCATATGTTTTCTGTTGGAGATACTGTTGCCCAAAAAAAAAAACGTTAAAAAATCTTGCATAGGAACGATAGCATATGAATGGCATAACAGAAAATGTTGGTGGTTTTAAAACCTTTACTTTTCTAAACAGCGGTATACCTTGAAAATGATTATCATCCCATCCCATGCCTACATAAGACTATGCACTACTACAAAATTTTGAAGGGTTAAAATAAGATAAACCGAAAAAATAAAAATAAGAATAGGAGCGCAAAGTGGGGCGAAGCAGTGGCGCAGTAGGTAGTGCTGTCGCCTCACAGCAAGAAGTTCGCTGGTTGGAGCCTCGGCTCAGTTGGCTTTTCTGTGTGGAGTTTGCATGTTCTCCCTGCGTTCGCATGGGTTTCCTCCGGGTGCTCCGGTTTCCCCCACAGTCCAAAGACATGCGGTAGAGGTGAATTGGGTAGGCTAAATTGTCCGTAGTGTATGAGTGTGTGTGTGAATGTGTGTTTGGATGTTTCCCAGAGATGGGTTGCTGCTGGAAGGGCATCCACTGCGTAAAAACTTGCTGTATAAGTTGGCGGTTCATTCCGCTGTGGCGACCCCGGATTAATAAAGGGACTAAGCTGACAAGAAAATGAATGAATGAGCGCAAAGTGTGGTTTGTGCAACATTTAGTGCAAATAAGACAGGACAGACAAGACAGAACAAGAAACAGTAACGCCGACCAGTACACTATGGATGCTGTGCAAAAATATTGGATCAGATATAAAAACTGTACATGTAAGCATTTTTCATTGAGGTAGAAATGTTGTACAGAGCAGTGTAAAAACAGCAGTTGTGCAAATATGTGACATTGCTGCAAATTAAGTTGACAACAACCACTTCTGTATAGTAGTGTGTTATGTTTAGTGATCAAGCTACTTCTCTTTTGTTTCATTAGTATCCCACACAAACAAGATGAAGGTTATGTTCCTCATTCAGGACTTTATAAATTACCATACAAGCTTGTATGTCACAAAGCAGAGAAGTAAAGCCCCTGTGAAATGTTTGAACTTCAAACTTTAAAGTAGTTAAAAATATGAAATATTGATATTGCTAGGTTAATTTTATGGGTGTTGTGGGTGGTTGCTAATAAGTTGCTAGGTTGTTTCTTAATGGTTTTAGTTGTTGTTAGTGTCAAATGTTTGCTAGGGAGGTTATTGGTATCGGTACAATGCCAATAGAAACAAAAACAAAAAAATTGTACTATTAAGGGGATTAATGATACACACAGAACTTTGAATTCTTCAATGATCAATCTTTTAGTCTTTGCTTTCAATTGACACATAGAAAAAGGCATTATTTAGCAATCCTCCCATCAAATAATCACAATAAGCATTGTGGTTTGTTGCTTTCAATAAGAAACATCTTTGAAATTTGGTTCAGTTTATTAGGAATTCAAACAATGTGTTGTTTGGACAGTCTTTGGTGTAGTATGATGGCAGATTGTGGTGCAGTTCAAACAACACTCGAGCGTGAGTGAACCCAGTCTTCTCTTCTAGGAATGATCACGTCTTTCACATCTCGTGTTATCACTCAGTTAATCACAGAGAGATGTCAGTAAACCACCTTATAAGCAATGTGTCACACAACATTACACTCACGAGGTTCACTTCTGGCTACCTACTCTGAAAGAAGTTATACTTTGAGCCAACTTAAAAACATTTGTTAAAGCCAGAATTTGTAGTTTTTTTTTCAAAGTGTCATTTTGGTTTAAATATTAATATTTTATTTACCCTAAATCAGATATATTAAAACATATGCTACCAAAGTTGGTGGTTCATTCCACTGTGGCGACCCCTGATGAATAAGCAACTAAGTCAAAGGAAAAGGAAGAAAATATTTATAAACTTTTTTATAAATCAACACAAAGTTATGTTGTTTTAGTTATTTAGTTATTTTATTTCAAGCTCTGAGGTAAACTGCTGGCACTTTCAGTATGGCTATAAATGTCATGCAAGATGATAATCGAAATGGCATAAAAACTGAACAGCAGTACATCTTTTTCCTGTGGTCACATGACACTGATTGTTTATAGAAAAAAATGATACTTTGAGAAAAATGTATGCTTTTAATTTTCTCTTGGGGGTTAATTTTTTGCTTTAAGGCAAATTGAATTTGAATTTAATTTGAATTTTAAATGTACTAAATAGGAGAGCCCCTTGAGATGAACAATCTCATTTTTGAGCGGATCCCTAAGAAGTACATGAATCAAAAGTAAAACACGTCATAACAAACACAAAGCTAAACAAAAGAAATAAAGAAACAAGCAGCACTCTTCACCTTAAACACTCCCCACACTCTCAGAAATAAAGGTACGTGAGCTGTCACTGTGGAAGTACCTTTTCAAAGATACAAAATTTTACATAAAAGGTTCATATTAATACCTCAAGGGTACATAATAGTACCTAACATTTTAAGAAGAACACTTTTGCACTTTTTAGGAACTAATATGTACTCTCAAGGTATTAATATGGACCTTTAGGGACAAATTTGTACCTTTCGAAAAGGTACCACTCCAGTGACAGCTCTTTATTTCTGAGAGTGCACAGTCTAAAGCCTAACCAAACAAAAATAAATAATCAAAAGTGCAATTTAATATACAAACAAATAACACACATTTAAATTAGGACCAATATTAATAACATTTACAAGTTGTTTCCAAAAAAAGAAGATAAATTAGTCCTAAATGTCTTAATTGAAATAAAAGAATCCAGTCAAAAGGAGCTTTGTATTGAAAGGACCTACGGCTACTTTCTGTTGTAATTCTTGGAACAAAAAAGTAATTCTGTTGCATCTGTCGAAGAGAATTTAAAGGGGTAAATGGAACTAAACAAACTGCTTTAAATAAGAAGGGAAACTAAAATAAACAGTTAAAAAGAAATGAATACCAATGATATTGTCTACAGAACTAATAAATTTGTATAATACACAATGATGGGTTCTATATGGACATCTTAAAACAAACCTACAGAGAGTTGAAGACAGTATTTAAAGGTTTTAAATTAATATCAGATGTCCATTGACTTATAAACCATATTTGTTTTCACTTAATACAATAAAAAAATAACTTTTAATGGAGGACACAATAGTTTCCCTTTTTCACTGTATGTAGTTTAGAGCATTATACAAGAAACACGTTTTATATTATAATTAATGGAGCAGTTAGGATTCTCTCGATGGCTGGTTGTGTGGGCATAAAGGTTATTAGAAAGATTTACTGACTGGTTGACTGTCAAGATGAAAAGATCAATCCTCAAGCCCCTATATATGAAAGCTTTGGCTGAAACTGAAAATTAGGCCCACAGGGAATCTACCTACAGGAACCTGCAGATTTTTGAACCTGTCATTCACTCTATTTACTCATTTAAATATGCAAAGTTTCGATGTTTTGTGTCCAATTTATTATATTACTTTTTATTTTATTTGTTTTGTTTTGTTTTGTTTTTAGCTTCTATACTCTCAAAATCTATTCCCAGAAATTGCAGAATTCAGCAGAATTTGTCTGGTCCTGATGATACTCATAACCCCTTAGATTTGAAAAGTTGTAACCAATATTTAGGCTAATGAATATAAATGTTAAGGCTCTTATAAAACACTGCATGATCAGCAGCACACATCTTAAATCAGGCGGCAGAAATAGTTTGCAATGTATCGGTTTTAATAGGGTCATAATTATTTTATTGTGTTGATAACAAAAAATCCAATAGGCATTTAACGGCAGACACTGATACAGCGGCTGATGTAACACATCCTTTTGGTTTCAGTTTTTCAGCTTCTTGAAGTTGCTGTTCAGACGCTAGGGTGCCCAAAGTGGTTGCTAGGGTGTGGCCAGACAGTTACCATGAAAATAAGGACAGAGATTTAGTCTTCCAGAATTCCTGAGCCAACTCCCATATTTCCATCATGTTCTTGTGCCAACACTTGCCTCATTCATACTGTTTTACAGTTGGTTCTTCCTAATAGTCCTAAAGAATCAAAGAGCTGTAAAACTGACTGTATGCTCGGCTTTATTTTTGCTGATCTAAATACTGGATGATGTTGACCTTTTTTGATTGCTTTTCTTGGCAGAATCCAGCACATCAGAACGGGGCTGTGTCGTCTCCTGTTGCTTCTCAGTCCCAGCCTCCATCCTCTGCAGCATCTCCTCCTGCTCAGCCTCCCAGAGATCAGTGGGGCGGCAAGTATGAGTTTCTGCTCTCCTGTATCGGCTACTGTGTTGGCCTGGGAAATGTCTGGAGGTTTCCTTACCTCTGCTACCGAAACGGAGGAGGTGAGTGACTGCAGATATGAAAACTAGATCTTAAAGGGGCAGTTCATCCAAAAATGAAAATTCCTTTATTAAGTTCTCCGAGAGCTCTCTCAACCTCCATAGACAACAATGGTCTAACTTGTGTGTCTGTATATATATATATATATATATATATATATATATGATTCAATATATTGGCGATACAATTGACGATACAAGTGACGTCCAAGAGTCAGCTTATGGTAGTACTGAGCTATGATTCACTTTAATTTACTCCAAAATTATTTAAATTCTGCTATCATGTACTCGCCTTTATGTCATTTCAAACTCATGTGATCTTTTTTGAAACACAGATGGGGATCTTTGAGATTTGCATCCCTCCATTTAAAGTCCATTCATGTAAAGCCTAAAAGATCAGCCAATCCCATAGGCATCATAAAATAAATCAAGTTCCAAATTCAAGTTTATTATTAGGTTTCACACAATCATTTTGTGTTGAGACAACATGAAGGAATTAATTTATTAGTTTTTATAAATTTAAGTAAATGAAACATAATTAAGTTTTCCACAAAAAAAATACATCAAGAATTGTTTTATTTCAGCTAAACTTAAATAAGTTGTTCGAACAAAAAGCAAATGTCATTTTTTGAGTGTTGTATATACAACTTATTAAAATCAGTGTGTCGGAAATAAGTCATTGTGATTTTACCTTATGAAAAGTTCCTATGAGAGTTTGTGAACTTCCTGTGTAAATGGGTCTTTCATGGGTAAACTAGGACATTTAGTTGCTCTAAGCCTGAAATCCATCCTTCTCTCCAACCAAGCATAACCAAAGGCCTTTCCCTGCAATAGGGACGGGCTCCTCTTTAAACCTCTGAAACAAATTTGCCTGAACCAAGACCTCAAAAAAAAGGAGAAATTTGCTATGTAAAGATGTTAGTAATACAAATGACTAGTCAGGTTTTTGAAGGGTGATGAAGAAAAGCTTTAGAATTACCTTAAGATGAATTGAACCCTCAGCACTCAGATTGGTGTTGACTTGAAAACAGTACATAAAAAACTTTTGTATGGAGTAAGGAATATTAAAATACACATTTCTCCCAAGTTTTTGTTATATAAACATATATAGATCAGATTACTCTAAATAGTTTGACTTTACATATTTAGATCAGGTTTGATATGGACATGAACTATGGCAGCTGATTTCATTTATTTATTTAGTTTATTAGTTTGAATTGTCTGAAATTAATTAAATGAAGGTTTCTCATATCTTGTCATATTTTGTTGGACTAAATTTTAACAAAAAATTTCAATATGAAAGTACAGACCGCAAAATAACGGAGCAAACATCTAACAAATGGAGCAATGAAACAAACAGAAAAGCAACCAGCTTAAAATCATGGCGATTAGTTCAATGATGATGGCCACTGGACGTGACCGATTTAAAGGACAGTATTTTTGCTTTACATGTATGGCTGATATTATGATCTACATCAAATCTGTAAATTATTTCGTTTAACTCTTTTCCTGCCGTTGATGAGAGAAAAGGCTTGCCTGCCATTGATGAGTTTTACAGCAGTATTTGTTTTAGGTGTATTACGGCAGGGGAAGCCTTAACGCATGTCCTGAGTGAGGTACATGATGTCAGATGCTCCGGGGAGTAAAATCTGAGAAAGAGAATGTAAGATCGTAGATAAAAAATAAGAGTTATACAACCTTCCTTTGGCTTAATCCTTACCATTTTAAATCTTATCTTGACAAGAGACCAAAAAAAAAAAGCTTTATGTTTATGATTTGTGTCATTGTCGTTGTGTCAGATTGCACACTAACATAGGTTTATATATATATATATATATATATATATATATATATATATATATATATATATATATATATATATATATATATATATATATATATATATTATTGCAACTAGGGGGTCTGAGTATTGTGGGATTTATAATAAAACCAGTTTATGTCAGAGTTTTATTTTATGCACCTACAAACAATTTGAATACTTTAAAATCTTTAATCCATTTGCTGCTTAAGTTATTTGTTATTTATAAAAAAAATAGCACAATCCATAATCAAATTTCACTTGAAAGTGAAAACATATGCAAGTAAAATCTGTATTTTTTGTATAAAACCATTCCAGAGTAATATCTGATGTTGGTTTTATATGATAATAATAATAATAATAATAATAATAATAATAATAATAATAATAATAATAATAATATGTAGATTTTATCCATCTGGAATGTTTATGATCAGCATGAGTTCAAGTTGAAAGAAATGCACATGTAATTGGATTCTATTTATTTTGGGTGGCGTTTATATTGTGCAATTGTTTGTAAGGCAATACGTACAGACTTATAGTGTTTTCAGTGTGTTTGATGGATTGAAGATTAATGTAAAATGTATGGATTATGCAAATCTGGAACAGGGGAAAGCACTGACAGGCTCCCGTGATTTAAGAGTGTGGAATCACCGGCACAAATGACTTAATTTGAGGTTGTGGCTCAGTGGTTAGCGCACATGCTCGAACATGCTGAGCTGTGGTGCTTATCCAAGTGAACTTCATTGAGTCCAACATTTATTTTTCAAATCCCATTCCACCCATCTCAGCCCATCACTTTCACTCTTTTCACTACAATTGGTAGCAACAAAACTGTTTAAAGTTCAAAAATTAACATTAAGGGGAAGATTATTCACATTTTACTTTTATACAGAGATTTGCATTGCATACAAGGTGCATATTTATGAGTTCTTGCTTTTGCCTGGGAGTTGATTTTTTTTTTGGGTGCAAATGTTAACAAACAAAGTAACAAGCCTAAGTCTAAAATTACTTTATTAAACATGTTACTTTTTTTCTTAATCTTGTTACCTTGCAATGTTTTAACATTTATTGTTATTATTTATTTGTTTAAAATATGCATATTCACATTCTAACTCCTAACTATTCTAACTCCTAACATTCTAACTATTAAATTGTTAAAATCACTTAAGAATAAAATATTATGTGTGTTTTTGAAAGTGTATACTTGCATTATAATGTTATTACATTGTCACTCTGCCATACTTTAATGTGTGGCATAACATGGTCTAACAATGACAATGATGTAATTTATTGCAATAAATTTTAGTGCAGTAAAATATACAGTGCATCCGAAAAGTATTCATAGCCCTTTTTTTCAAATTTTTTTATGTTCCAGTATTATTCCAAAATGGATTAAATATATTTATTTCCTCAAAATTCTTCACACAATACCCCATAATGACAATGTGAAAAAAGATTTTTAGAAATTGTTAAAAAATTTAAAAAAATAAAAAACAGGAAAAATTGCATGTACATAAGTATTCATATATTGCCGTGAAGCTCTAAACTGAGCTCAGGTACATTCTGTTTCCCCTGATCATTTTTGAAATGATTCAGCAGCTTTATTGGAGTTCACCTTTGGTGAAATCAGTTGATTGGACATGATTTGAAAAGGCATGCACCTGTCTATATAAGGTCCCAGAGTTGACAGTGCATGTCAAAGCACAAACCAAGCATAAGGACAAAGGAATTGTCTGTAGACCTCCGAGACAGGATTGTCTCAAGTCACAAAGCTGGGGAAGGTTACAGAAAATTTCAGCTGCTCTGAAAGTTCCAATGAGCACAGCGGCCTCTATCATCTGTAAGTGTAAGATGTTTGGAACCACCAGGACTCTTTCTAGAGCTTTGCCAAAAGGCATCTAAAGGAAACTCAGACCATAAGAAACATAATTCTCTGGTCTGATGAAACTAAAAATGAACTTCTTGGAGTGAATGCCAGGCGTTACATTTAGAGAAAACCATGCACAGCTCATCACCAGGCTAATACCATCCCTATAGTGAAGCATGGTGGTGGCAGCATCATGCTGTGGGGATGTTTTTCAGCAGCAGGAACTGGAAGACTAGTCAGAATAGAGGGAAAGATGAATGCAGCAATGTACAGAGACATCCTGAATGAAAACCTGCTTCAGAGTGTTCTTGACCTCAGACTGGGGCGATGGTTCATCTTCCAGCCGGACAATGACCTAAAGCATACTGCTAAAATATCAATGGAGTGGCTTCACAGCAACTCGGTGAATGTCCTTGAGTGGCCCAGCCAGAGCCCAGACCTAAATCCTATTGAACAACTCTGGAGAGATCTGAAAATGACTGTACACCATCGCTTCCCATCCAATCTGATAGAGCTTGAGCAGTACTGCAAAGAGGAATGGACAAAAATTCCCAAGGACATGTGTGCCGAGCTTGTGGCATCATATTCAAAGTATCAAGGCTGTAATTGCTGCCAAAGTTGCATCAACACAGAATTGAGCAAAGGCTGTGAATTCTTATGTACATGTGATTATTTAAGTTTTTTATTTTGAAAAAAAATTGTATCAATTTCAAAAGATCCTTTTTCACATTGTCATTATGGGGTATTGTATGTAGAATTTTGAGGAAATAAATTAATTTAATCCATTTTGGAATAAGGCTGTAACATAAAAATATGTGGAAAAAGTTGCTATAACAATAAACTTTATTTCCATTAACTAATGTTAACAGATGCTGTTATAAATGTATTGTTCATTGTTTGTTCATGTTAGTAAATGCATTAATTAGTACAACATTATTGTAAAGTGGCACCAGGTTCCACTATTTGAGCTACAGGATTACTATTATTGTTTTATCTTTTGAAGTTGTAGAAGGTTGACTAATGTCTTTTGTATTTGGGTTGCAGGTGTGTTTCTCATCCCGTACTTCATCATGCTGTTCTTCACGGGGATGCCACTGTTCCTCATGGAGCTCAGTCTGGGCCAGTATGGGGCTGCGGGTCCCATAACTGTCTGGAAGTGCTGTCCCCTCCTCAAAGGTACATTTACGCATTTAATTCTGGCTTTGAGCTTGAGCTAAATCCATTAATCAAAGTTGTGCAGCTGCACTTTGCATGAGAAATAATCAGTTACTGTGGCTGAAGGATTAAAGATGGCTGCGGTCTTGTTGCAGGTATTGGCATAGGGATGCTGTGTGTATCCACTCTCGTGTGTCTCTATTATAATGTCATTATCGCTTGGACCTTCTACTACCTGGGCAGTTCTTTCCAGAGCCCTCTGCCCTGGTCATGTGATGCTCTTCAAAACATCGCCTTATGTGCAGTGAGTCTGCTAAGAATAAAATTGTTAAAGTGCCATCTGTGTTGCCAGTTAAGATGTGTTTTCATGTACAAAAAGTAAACAAACAAACAAAAATGTCATCTGTTTTCTTCACAGAACAAAACTAATTCGACCCAAAGTCCCTCAGAGGTGTTCTGGAAGTAAGAATTTGTCCTTTGTTTGTCTATTTAAATGTTTACATAAATTTTTACTAGTAAAAAAGTACAATTATGTAACAAATACCTACAAATAATGAAAAAAATGTTAATTTATTAATTTTGTTTTATAGTAATGAGCAGTGCTTAATTTGAGCCAGATCTTGTTCTGGGAAATGTTAGATATTCATGTTTTGCATTCCGGGATTTATTTTATTTGATCCGGCATTAACTTTCGCGTGATGAATATATGCATGTTTGTGTGTGAGAGAGTGAATGTGAACGAGGCAAAGTAAAAAACAGCGAAAAAAGGACAACACACACATAAAGGTAGTCATTTTCAACCAACAACTTTCTTACATTTACAATCACTCTCATTGGTTGATGATTATGTTTTTGCGCGCAGTGAGCAGCAAAAATAAATAGTGGCATAATGGCCTACCTAAATAATATTTGTACTTTCAAAATGCCAGAGGCAGTCAGGCATGTATTATTTTTTTTAAACCATGAGTAAATCTGATAATGAGCCTGATCTAGATGAAACTGCACCCCTGGGTCAGGATAGTGGGAGACAGAAGCAAAGCGATCTCAAGTCAGCTAGAAAACGTGACAGAAGAGGTAACTGTGGGCTCTTCTTGAAGATTAGACAGGGTGAATCATTTTGGCTAGGCACATAATAGTGAAGTGAACTGAATGTCAGTGGTGTTAGTAAACTGAATAGTGATGTTTCACATGATTTATGTTTGTAGCTAAATGTTTGTCTGTTTTTTTAATCCAGGGTTGACCCATAACGTTATATTGTACTAAATAATTAAAGATCGTTCAGAAATTTGATGTTTTTTCTATTTAACCGCTCAGTTTATGTCATGTTCCAGGAAAACTAAAATTATGTGGTGGACATCGGTCACAGTAACTTTCATTTTCTGGTTTTGTTTCCGAAATTATTCATTTACAAATTAAGCACTGGTAATGAGTAGGTACAGACAGAATCTGCTGACTTTTTTTGCTATTACTGCTGAAAACTTTGTAAAAAATCTGTAGATATATGCAAATGATTTTGGGAGTATCATAACTAAAAACTTAATATATGAAATAAAAAGAATACCTTTTCACTTTTATTGAATGTTTACAATGCAAATCTAATAAGATCCACTACTATTTAGTAAACTAAGCAAGTCTTTCTTATAATATATCTACTAAAAGAAATTACTTTGCAAACTTTATTGTAAATAAATCATATGAAAATTTTTATACTAATAATGATAATAATAATAATAATAATAATAATAATAATAATAATACCTTTTATTTATAAGTGGCTTTCAAAGCAGTCAGGGACACCGTACAATATGTCACAGGCACATCATAAAATACAAGACAGAAGAATAATAAACATAATATTAAACCAGAAAATCATTCAAAGCAATCCTTACCTCCTTAAAATCCTTAAAATTGGAAACAAAGTCCACCTGACGAATATCTAACGGCAGTGAATTCCATCACTGTGGTGCTGTGCAGCTAAAAGCACTGCCACAAAATGACTTCATCTTAAAATTTGGAACTGATAACAGTTCAGCCAAAGAAAAACTCAGTGAGCGCAGAGGAGTGTGCAAGTGAAGAAGATCTGAGAGGTAATCGAGTGCCTGGTTGTGAAGAGCTTCGAAAGTTGATAGAAAAAATTTATAGATAAAGAACAGGAAGCCAATGCAAGTGAAAGAGAATTGGGGATATGTGTTCAGAAGCACGCAAGCGGGTGACTACCCTAGCTGCTGAGTTCTGGATTAACTGTAATCTGCGAAGTTGTTGCGATAGGAAGGAATTGCAATAATCAATCCTTGATGTAACCAGAGTATGAACAAGCACTTCAGTGCTTTGTTGAGATTGTTGAGAAGTCTTTCAGTGTTACTTGAGTGAAAAAAGGAAGATTGTGAAATATTACTAATATGTGAATTAAACAAAAGCTTAACATCTTGTATAACGCCAAGAATTTTAACATGAGTTGTAAAATTTACTGGAGAATTATTGATAGATAGAGTAAAAGATCTGAGCTTTGGAAAGAAGAGACTTAGAGCCAACCAGAAGGGCTTCAGTTTTACTGGCAAGTAACTTTAAAAAGTTACTTTAAAAAGATTAACTTTAAAAAGGGGGTGAGATGGAGCATTCCATAAACTATAAACTTGCGGATCACCCGCATAAAAATGAACATTTATGCCATAAAAACAAATTATATGACCTAAAGGGAATATAAGAGAATATTAATATAGTCAATAATTAGTCAATAAATGTTAGTCAATAATATTAATGAATTGAACTTGAAATGTAAATTTACGCACATTTAGACAACTCCAGTGATGGTTTGTGAAAAATGCACTGTTGTTTATTTGTAATAAATGTTCATTTGTGATATTTATAGCTTTCAATCAAGACATATTTATAGCAATTCAATCTATTAACTTACTCTCCCTCCTGCTTATATTATTTTAGTGGAGTATTAAGAATTTTAGCTGAAACTTTGATCTTCGGTTTTTCAAAAAGTGCAAGTCAATAGTTACTAGAATTGTAAGAGTCAAAAAGCAAATACCAACAAAACAAGTTTAACTATTGGTCTACACCAGACATGTCCATACTTGGTCCCGGAGGGCCAGTGTCCTGCAAAGTTTAGTTCCAACCCCAATCAGACACACCTGGGCTAGCTAATCAAGCTCTTACCAGGCTTTTTAGAAACATCCTTGCGAATGTGTTGAGGCTAGTTGGAGCTAAAAGCTGCAGGACACCGCCCCTCCAGGACAGTTTTTGGACAACCGTGGTCTACACTGTAAAAAACGCTGGGTTCCACACAATTCCTTCATGTTGTTTCAACAAAAATCGATTAAGTTAACTCAATCGTTTTAAAAAATTTAAGGTGATCGAACATAAAACAGTTAAGTTGCCCCTCCAAAAAAAGTTAAGAATTGTGTTGTTTCAAGTTGTTTTAAGTTTGAACAAGCAGCGAAAGTTTAAGTGTGTAATGATCTGTAATAATTGAGCATTATTTATAGTAACAATAGTTACACTATTGAGTTTTTCTGGAAAGTTCACTTTTGACAAGCTCTTACAAACGTTCTGAAACAAATGTCAAAACAGCTTCACACCCATACATTTGACGTGAAGTACATCATGGCCTTAAACGTTTTCATACTTTCATTGTTTCAACTCCATCATACACTGTAACCAAGTTTGTTATCGTAATTTGTTCTGCTTGTTTTTCTTGTTTGTTCACATCCACAATCTAAAAATACCACAGATAGAGGAGTGTTAATATACAACAAATATGTGCTGTGGTTATTGTGACATTCAAACCTGTATCTGTTCTAGTGTTCATTTGCGAGAATAATGCCATTGAACTATAAAACCACACTTGAAACAGTTCTGGTTTGTTAAGCTATGAATTGTACTGAGTGTTGTGTGTTTGTGTGTGTGTTTAGTGAGAAGGTTCTGGGTGTGGTACACAGCACAGGACTCAGTGATCCCGGGCCGGTGCGCTGGCCTCTCGCTCTCTGCTTGCTGGCTGCCTGGATCATCATATTCCTCTGCATGCTCAAAGGCATTCACAGCTCCGGCAAGGTTAGACCTTACCCAGACACACCTTAAAGACTTAGATCAACAGCGCATCCAGCTGGCTTTATTCCCCATGGGAAAGTAGGTGTGGGATTGTTGTTATAGTAATGTTGAGGTACTGTAATTTGTGTAAATATTTTGGATTTTTGACTTTCAAAGAGTTTTAGGATTAAAAACAAAAAAATCACCTAATATTAAGGGGTTCATCACACCACAGAAAATACATTCAATAATATTTATACATTTCAGCAGTTTTTTAATGGAATTTCTAATAGTTTTCTGCTAAATATCACTGAGATATTACATTTATAACACTGTGTGGAGGTAGGGGAAACTTACAAATTAGGTAGTTGTATTAATATACATTTATTCACTAATTCATTCATTTTACTTATTTCTCAGGAGTCACCACAGCAGAATGAGCCGTCATATATATATATTCACACACACATATATATATATTTAATCACAAATAATTGTTTGTATTTATTTTGTACAGTTGAAATCAGAATTATTAGCCCTCCTGTTTATTTTTTTCCACAATTTCTGTTTAACGGAGAGAAGATTTCTTTAACACATTTCTAAACATAATAGTTTTAATAACTCATTTCTAATAACTGATTTATGTTATCTCTGCCATGAGGACAGTAAATAATATTTGACTTTAAATTTTTCAAGACACTTCTATACAGCTTAAAGTGACATTTAAAGGCTTAACTTGGTTAATTAGGTTAACTAGGCAGGTTAGGGTAATTAGGCAGGTTATTGTATAGGGAACTATCGAAAAATTTGCTTAAAGGGGCTAATAATTTTGTCCTTAAAATGTTTTTTAAAAAAAATAAAAAACTGTATATATATACAGTTGAAGTCAGAATTATTAGCCCCCCTGAATTTTTAGACCACTTGTTTATTTTTTCCCTAATTTCTGTTTAATGGAGAGCAAATTTTTTCAACACATTTCTAAACATAATTTTTTAATAACTCATCTCTAATAACTGATTTATTTTATCTTTGCTATGATGACTGTTAATAATATTTTAATAGATATTTTTCAAGACACTTTTATACAGCTTAAAGCAACATTTAAAGGCTTAACTGGGTTAATTAGGTTACCTAGGCAGGTTAGGGTAATTAGGCAAGTTATTGCATAACAGTGGTTTGTTCTGTAGATTAACGAGAAAAAATATAGCTTAAAGGGGCTAATAATTTTGTCCCTAAAATTGTGTTAAAAAAATTAAAAACTGCTTTTATTATACCCGAACTAAAACAAATACAACTTTCTCCAGAAGAAAAAATGTTATCAGACGTACTGTGAAAATTTCCTTGCCCTGTTAAACATCATTTGGAAAATATTTAAAAAAGAAGAAAAAAATTTGAAGGGGGCTAATAATTCTGACTTCAACTGTATGTATATATATATATATATATATATATATATATATATACCAAAACAACAGTGGTGAACAACAGGGGTCAGTTCTTTATACATGGATTACTCAGTCAGCTGGATTCGATTGATGATGATTTGACATGATTCGGGATAGTTTGTTCTTTAAAAGTATAAACCCATCTAGTAGCTGTTGTCATAGCAACAGGTCTGTAAGCTGAACCTTGCTTGAGAGCTGGCTTATTTTATATAAACAGGATTGTCATTTCAAGTGAAGGTGACACTGAAAGTATGTACCGTACCAACTGCTGATGTTTTCTAAGAAGAGTACTGTATTATATTGGCAAAGATAGCAATGTTGTTAAATTATAATATACACTACATAATATATAAATATATAGTGTGTTTGCTGTTTTATTTGTTACTCAAATATTTTTAAGATACCTCATGTGGACGCCATACTCTATACACCACCTGACAAAAGCCTTGACGTCGATTCCAGTCGTAAGAGCAACAAATAATAACTTGCTTCTAGTTGATCATTTGGAAAAGTGGCAGAAGGTAGAATTTTTCGATGAATCATCTGTTGATCTGCATCCCAATCATCACAAACACTGCTGAAGACCTATTGGAACCCGCATGGACCCAAGATTCCCAGAAATCAGTCAAGTTTGATGAAGGAAAAATCATGGTTTGGGGTTACATTCAGTATGGGGGCATGCGATAGATCTGCAGACTGAATGGCAACGTCAACAGCCTGAGGTATCAAGACATTTGTGCTGCACATTACATCATAAACCACAGGAGAGAGCAAATTCTTCAGCAGGAGAGGGCTCCTTCTCATACTTCAGCCTCCACATCAATGTTCCTGAAAGCAAAGAAGGTCAAGGTGCCCCAGAATTGGCCAGCCCAGTCACCAGACATGAATAGTATTGAGCATTTTCATATAAGCCACTTCTGATACCAAATGATCAACTAGAAGTCAAGTTATTATTCGTTGTTCCCAAGGCTTGGATAGGCAACAGGGCCATTTCATCGATTCCCTTTCCTCTTCTGGTAGGTGGTGTATGTGACTGCCACTTTCCCATATTTTGTACTGTTGGTCCTCATCATCAGAGGAGCCACCCTTGAGGGCTCCTTAGATGGTGTCGCCTTCTACCTCACTCCTAAGTGGGACCAGCTGGCTGATGCACAGGTACACTAAACAACCTCATTTAAACAACTTTTCATTTCCTTCAGTTTTATATCCTACAATAAAGACCTCCTGTCACTGTAGGTGTGGAATGATGCTGCGTCGCAGATCTTCTATTCTTTGGGTATTGGAGTTGGAGGCCTCCTGTCCATGGCTTCTTACAATAAATTTGACAATAATGTCATCAGGTAAGGACTTTTAACACAGTTTTGCATTTTGTCTTGTAAAATCTAATGAAGGATCTGGGGATAATAGAAGCTGCATGTGTGCTTTAGATCAAGAAGGAAATGTGTATTTTATTTTCGCTATTCTTTATTTTTTAGTTATTTAAATTAATTATGTAAACATTTATAATTGTTTATATTTATTTAATATACAAATTGATGCTTTTTTGTAATTTTATCATTCATTAGATTTATTATTAGATATTTATTAGTAGTGATGGATGAAAATTAGACATTTAGGCAAGGATATGGTAATACAATATTACTCTAGTATAAGAATATATCATTTTTAATATTTATTTATAATTAATTTATAAATTGTCATTTTTTTAATATATATATATTTATTTATTTATGTTTTATATTAATTGAGTGCAAAGTACTTGTAAAAACTTTACTAAAGTAACATATTGATGAATGTTTATTTTTCATGACAACCAAATTACCAAAACTTGTCATGCTCTAATAACAATACTAATAGTTCATGATATAAGAGAGAAAAAAAAAACGCATTCACAAGCTCAACCCCATTCAGATCAATTTGTAAAATCAGTACAACACTGAAGACTGGAGACACAGATCAAGTCATTTGAGTTTCCGAATCATTTACTAGATACTTACTTTGACTGGATCATTTGAGTCTGCAAATCATTTACTGCATACTAACTCTGAACGGATCTTTTGAATCAGTGAATCATTTACTGGAGACTCACTCTGAATGGATCATTTGAATCAGTGAATCATTTACTGCATACTCACTCTGAACAGATCATTTGAATCAGTGAATCATTTACTGGCGGCAAACTCTGAACAGATCATTTGAGTCTGCAAATCATTTATGGGTTACATAAGCTGCGTCCCAAATTGCATACTTATGCACTATTCTACGCCATTTTGTAGTATAAATAGTGTAAGTAGTGTGTTCACACTGAAAACTCTAAAAATAATAAGTGTACTTTGATTACCCGGATGATGCACTCATTCAGCCGCTAAAATGAAGTGTGTAATGATGGACACTTCACACACTCAACGACCGCAAGTTTGCTTACGTAGCGGAAGGGGCGGAGTTATCGGACGCACATGTTGAATAACTTTATTTATTTTTGATGGTGAAAGCAAAATTCTCCTACGAGAGTGATTATAGCGCCTCCCGATGGTGAATGCGGCAATACTCACGGCAGGTATTATTTGATAAGTCGCTCGTTTATTTCACTGATTTGGCAACCTTCAAACGTCATCAGGGAAACGGTTTGAATTTCCGTTTAGTAAAAAAACGTTAGTGTGCCATTTCGGACGCCACTACATACATATACTATCCTGTTGAGTGTGTAAGTGCATAAGTACATAGTGCATGAGTGCATAGTGTATAGTGTGCCATTTGGGACGCAGCTTCACTCTGAATTAATCATTTGAATCAGTGAATCATTTACTGGAGACTCACTCTGAACAGATCATTTGAGTCTGCGATTCATTTACTAGATACTCCCTCTGAATGGATCATTTGAATCAGAGAATCATTTACTGGATACTAACTCTGAATGAATCAATTAAATCAGTAAATCATTTACTGGAGACAGTGAATCAGTTAATTATTTACAGTAATATTGTCAATTTTGGTTGCCAGTAATTGTGTAAAATGTACAAGCGCACTGTAAATTAACAATTACAATTGTGATGTAATTTTACAGTAAAATTGTAATTGTTAATTTACAATATACTTGTAAAATATACAGAATTACTGGCAACCAAAATTGTCAATAATACAGTAAATTTTACAGCATCTTTTACAGTGTTTTAAATCTGATTGATCTGGCATGTAGACTTGTGATATAATAAAGCCATGAAATATAACCTTGAAGCCTTTCTTTTTTTGTTGCAGGGACACTATTATCATCACCATAGGGAACTGTAGCACCAGCTTTTTTGCAGGCTTTGCCATCTTCTCTATCCTCGGTCACATGGCATTTAAGAAGGGCGTTCCTGTGGACAAGGTGGCGGATTCAGGTACTTCCTTTTTAGTCTGTTACGTTACTTCTCTAATCCTGTCAAAGCTCTGCCCACAACATCCTCATGATTTACAGTCGCTTCAAACGCTTCCTTGTAGTTTTAAATTCAGTTCATGGTTTATTATCTTAAAGAGTGTTTGTGGTTGTCTTTTAGGTCCTGGTCTGGCATTTGTTGCCTACCCAGAAGCCCTGGCTCTTCTCCCTGGATCAGTGTTTTGGTCCATTCTGTTTTTCCTCATGCTCTTTATGCTGGGAGTGGACACCTTGGTAAGACAATCTAATCTAGTTCAGTCAGGTTTTTATATTAATCACTTTTTTTTGACAAATATTTATGTGGCAAACACACTGCAGTCACGTTACACACATATAAATATGCTCATCAAAGGTGCATTCATTTGATCTGATATTCCTTCAAAAATTATGAAAGTTTGAATTCATTGTTTTGCTCCAAAAATGAGGGAAATTATACACTGCACATTCAAATCTGCACTCAAAAATGACTTTTGCTGCTTGTTCAAACAACTTATTTAAAATTAGTTGAGTCAACGCATTTCTTAAGGGTCAACACAGGGGCAAACAGATGTAAACAGGCAATCCTGAGTCATGGTCGATAAACAGGCAGATGGTCAGTACAGGCAGGCAGCAGGCAACATAAACTAACAAACAAAGCAAGGGTTAAACACAGCAAGACAAGGCAAAGGAAACATGCTGTAATGTTCACAGACAGTATAACATGACTCAGCAAAGATGTGTATGTATGTGCTGTTTAAATGGTCCTGTTGTAATCAGTCCATGAGCAGCTTCAGCTGTGTGTCTGTGTGTAATCAATGGAATGAGGAACTGGTGCGTGTGAGCGGTGCATGACTGGAATATGTAGTCCATATAATGCAGCCGCTCGATCACTGGTGATCATAACAGATTAAGTTTACTTAATCAATTTGTGTAGGGATGACATAAAGGAATTGTGTGGAACCCAGCATTTTTTTCGCAGTGTGTGGGAAATTGTGCTCTTTTAATTCCTAAAAAATATGGCATAGTGAAATAGTGTTATGTAAAATGTGTTTTTTATTTTAATACATTTTTACACTTTATTATTTTCATGATGGCAAAGCTAAATGTTCAGCAGCAATTACTGCAGTTGAAAAAATATTGTATACCGTAACTTTTGATCAGTTTAATACATGTTTAATTAATGCAAGTATTGTTTCTTTCAAAATATAAAAACAAAATTCATTCTGACCTCAAAATGTTGAATGTTGCAAATATGACGTTCATTTGAATTGTGCTTATATGATGTAGTTTTGGTTTTGGTACTTATGTTTACTAAAATTAGTTTTAATTACAGCTTGTGCAGAATTTGAAACTTTTAGTTTTATATATCTTAATTTAAAATAAGAAATAATGATTCTTAAATCCTAAGATTTTTTTTGCCTTGACTGTATCTGTATTGTACTGTACTGTAGTCCTTTTGTTTTTTAGTCTGTACCATTGCAGTTTATGCATGAATAAACAATCGTATTATATACTGTAGTTCACCTTGCATTCAAAAATAGCTGAGGTCTTATGTAATCACTGCAGAAAGATCTCAATAAGCAGCTTGCAAACAATGCCAGCAGTGGTTCTCAAACTTTTTTTATCAAGTACCACCTCAGAAAAGAATTGTCTCTCCGAGTACCACCAAAATGAGCAGTATTGAAATACAGTAGCGTAGTAGGCCCAGTAAAGCAGCTACAACTCTGCACAGTTAAAAAAAGTGGCAGATTACCTCAGAAATATAGGCTATATGTCATATATGGCATATTATATACATCATTTTTAATAAATTTTGAAATGTGTGTAGCATGTACATGACATATTTCATTTCTCCGTGTACCACTAGAAGGAAGCCTGCGTACCACTAGTGGTACACGTACCACAGTTTGAGAACCACTGGTTTACAGGATAAGCAGAGATTTTTAAGAAAATTTAAAATATAATTGAATTAATTTCAAAACAGAGCCACAGTTTGTTTAGAAAACATCTGAAGCATGTCTTCAAAAACTAAACACATACCAAACCAATCAACCACATTTCAGTTGAATTAAAAAAGAATGTATACTGTATGTGTAATATACACAGTGCTCAGCATAATTGAGTTCACCCTATTTTGAAAATGAATATGAAAGTGAATATAGGCAATGTATTTAGGTGCATATGAACAAAACAGATTTTTTAAACAGATATCTTTATTAAAATAATATTTTAGTCATCAAACATATTTAGGAATGGAAAGATAATACAATTAAATTCAAGAAGAAAAAAAAAAAAAAAAAAAAAAATATATATATATATATATATAGATAAACTACACATTTTCAAATATTTTTTTTTTAATTTTTTGCTTCTCTTGATTTTTTCCTCTTTTTTAAAATTTGTATTTAATATTTTTCCATAACATATAATAAATGTGGGTGTACTAGTTTCTGGACCGTTATCATAAGTTTTTTTGTTAGATACACTTCAGATTTGGCTTCAGTACTAACTAATCTAATGTATATGCACAAATAAAATATTGTATAGTTTCTTAATAAAAAAAAAGAATTTAAAAGAGAGATTTGTGAGGGGTGTACTTATATATGCTAATCACTGAAAAATAATATATTGTAAAATATATTATGTAAATATATAGTGTAGTATATACATATGTACATATATATATATATATATATATATATATATATATATATATATATATATATATATATATATATATATATATATATATATATATATATATATATTATAATTATATACAATTATTTTTATTATTATCTTTTTAAGAATGTTTTTTTGTAGAATTTTTTTAAAGCCCACATTTATAATCAAAGCCCACGGGAAAGAAAGTGTGGGAATCCTGTATAATATGAATCCAAGTTATCAGGTTTCAGTGTTTCCAGGTTAGAAGTGTGACTGTATAAAAGCTGAGGAAGCAGGTTTTCATAAGAAATGTGTGAAATCGCTGTACACATCCTGTCTGTTACTGCACTACTACTGTTTGTTACTGCACTACACTCATTTCAGTAAATGTGCCTGAACACACAGCAGGTTTCCTTCCCCTGTCTACACCTAGGATCTTCAAAATGCGAAAACTAACGCAACTCATGTATTAGCAATACATTAGTTCTCTTAAAAGCACAGTGTTATCAAAATGTTCTTTTTTTTTTATACATTTTGTTATATATGCACAAATTTTGTTGCGTCTGTGTCTATGTATAAATATCCCATTTTAGTGTGTGCATCAAATAAATTGACAAAATTACTTATTTTCAAATAAAAGTTTATATTTTGGTTTATATATATATATTTCAATGTGGTGATGTCATTGACCCATGAGTATTTCCTGCTTGTTATCAAACTATTTCATAACTGTAACAAGAGGCAATTCAATCCTAACTTAATGTTAAACCAGCTATCATAACATTATTTATCAATATTTGACTTTTTTTTTGGATTTTTGGAAGTTATAGACATGAAAAATGTAAAATAGTAAATACGTTGGGACCATTGTTATTGTTTACATCCCTCAAAAGGGTCTATATACTTTTTTTTTGGACTAAACCTGAACATTTCTTGTCAAATTTTATATAATGTGTATATATAGTGTATCTTTTTCAATTGTGAACTCAAAAGCTTTGTGACAGTGGGGTTAATATTTAATAAAAATAATTATTTCTCTATTTGTGTGCTGAACAAGATTTTCGAATTAAACTTTAGTGAATTTATTTTGTAAATCATTGTAAATCCTTAATCACTTTGAAAATATATATTTTAAGTCCAGGTTTATGACCAAAGCCTATGAGAAAGAAAGTGTTTTATGTGTGGACACTTATTTTCTTAATGCCTGAAAAAAATGTTCCCCTTTAACCCGCATGCAGTTGTTTGGCAATAAAGTGTTTGCCAAACCTCTAATGTAAACATGAAAGCAAACAGATAATTGCAGATGATGATGGCACACAGCAGTCTTCATATTGCCCTGACAGCAAACCAAACATCTGAATAATTCTGTTGATGCAAATGTCAGGCAAACCTAGGACATGTTTGTACACTCCTGACAGAAAATAAAGCCCATTGTTTAATTCTTTTATAATGTCAATTTGTGTCTCTCTGTCCTGTAGTTTGGTAACATGGAGGGCATTTGTACGGCAGTGCTGGACGAGTTTCCTCAGCTCAGGTCCAATCTGAAGCACAAGACGCTGTTCTTGGCAGTGCTCTGCTTCTCTTTCTATCTGATGGGCCTGTTGCTCATCACTGACGTAAGATTTTAGTCCTTTGTGTTTATAAATACACGTACACAGATGTCAAAATATATCAGCCATGTTTATTTAAATATTTAAATTCATCATTCCATCCATCTTCATTGTGATTTTCTTGTGATACTGGTTTTGTGCTGTGTTTGTCCATCACAGGGTGGGATATACTGGTTTACGCTCATAGACTCCTTCAGCACCAGCTTTGGTCTCATCATCATTACTCTCTTCATGTGCATTGGCATCTCGTTCTTCTATGGTACACATTCTTTTGTTTCCTCATGAGTTTTGCAGTTTAAAGGGTTAGTTCACCCAAAAATGTTTATTCTGTTAATTACTTATCCTGATGCCGTTCCAATTGGGTGAGAACTTCAAATTAAGATATTTTAGATAAATTCAGAGAGCTCCCCTATCCTCCATATACAGCAGTGGTCCCTAGACGTTCAAACCAAAAAACATTTTAGAAACATGCCATTATTTCACCATGACTTCAGTGGCACAACTTTATCATGCTTCAAGCTCCAAAGCTCCATGACCACTTTTGTGCACTAAACACATTGTAAATATGACTTTATAAGCCTTATTAGTATGACGTATTTTCATTTGAATCAACAGCGCAACATACAAGTGTCATATTGCCAGTAGTAAACTGTCAGGGTTCTGCCACTTTGGTCTTGTAAATTCTTGTTTTTGTGGCAGAGCTCTGACACTTCTCATGTCGGGTCCTGTTTCTGTCTCTGTGTGAGCGCGCGCCGTCGTGGGTGTACGTAGAGTGTGCGCGCTCCTGCTTGACGCGGCCGCGCGCGCGCTCTGCGTCACTCAGACGCGTGCGCTCTTGTACTCGTGTTTGTGTTTTCGTTTGTCAGCAGCGTGGTGTTTCATTCCCAGCGTCTCAGTCTTGTTGGTTTTGGTCGGCGCTGGGATGAAGCATGCACGCTGCGTGTGTGTGCGCACGGTGAGTGCTTTCATTCATCGTGTGCTCGTGTCTTGCGTCTTTTGTCAAAGCACGTGGCTCGGTGTTTACATTGTGGTCACGTGCTTTTGTCGTGTGCTTCAGTGTTGTGTTGTGTGAGCGCATGGCTTGTATTGTCTCTCTGTGTCATGCGCTCTCCCGTCTATTGTCTTGTCCCACCCACCTTGTTACCTTGTTTGTAATTATTATTTTCACCTGTCCGCCTGTCTGTTTATTGGTTTGTCTTTCCTATTTATTCTCCTAGTGTGCTCTGTTCTGTGCTGGTCCGTTATTGATTGTTTCCTTCCCTGTTGTACGTAATTTGCTGTTTCTGTTCTACAACAGTGGTTAAGTTGTGTGTCTGCCAAGTTCCTGATTCTTGAAGTCTAGTTGAGTGTATAACCATGTCGTGTTTTTCCCCACATGGGGAGATTTGAGTTTTGTTTTTGTTTTATTTTTTCAATAAATTCTTCATTCCCCGCATTTGGGTCCTCGCCTCCTCTTCATCACCCTCATACCCTGACAGAACGGACCAGCCACAATGAGGACCCAGCGGAATGAAGATGGCTCCTTCGCTAGCCGCATTTCTAAGTTGCTGCATTTGCAGTCGCTGAAGCAATGTGGCTTGAATTTGGAGGAGTTTGCGGAGAAATTCCGTAAGGCAGCTGAGGGGCTGAATTTTAATGACTGGCTGCTTATGACCCACCTAAATTTTGCTCTGGACAAGCCCCTTCTTCCTCTGCAAATCCAGAGAATGGTGGGCTGGTCATACCAGCAATTTATAGAGCACATGGTTCAGCAGCAGGAGAAAGGGATCCTTCAGGAGGAGAGGATCCCTCGCACCACCACCACCAGTGCCGCCTCCCAGCCCATGTCCAGCCCTCAAGGGCTGACCCGCACTCAGAAGCGGAGGTTAAAGAGGAAGACCTCTGCTGCAGTGTCGGCTCCAGCCCCAGAGCGCCCTCCAGTGTCGGCTCCAGCCCCAGAGCGCCCTCCAGTGTCGGCTCCAGCCCCAGAGCGCCCTCCAGTGTCGGCTCCAGCCCCAGAGCGCCCTCCAGTGTCGGCTCCAGCCCCAGAGCGCCCTCCAGTGTCGGCTCCAGCCCCAGAGCGCCCTCCAGTGTCGGCTCCAGCCCCAGAGCGCCCTCCAGTGTCGGCTCCAGCCCCAGAGCGCCCTCCAGTGTCGGCTCCAGCCCCAGAGCGCCCTCCAGTGTCGGCTCCAGCCCCAGAGCGCCCTCCAGTGTCGGCTCCAGCCCCAGAGCGCCCTCCAGTGTCGGCTCCAGCCCCAGAGCGCCCTCCAGTGTCGGCTCCAGCCCCAGAGCGCCCTCCAGTGTCGGCTCCAGCCCCTGAGCGCCCTCCAGTGTCGGCACCAGCCCAGCTCCTTGCCCTGCCGGCGCCACCCAGACGTCTTGCCCTGCCGGCGCCACCCAGACGTCTTGCCCTGCCGGCGCCACCCAGACGTCTTGCCCTGCCGGCGCCACCCAGACGTCTTGCCCTGCCGGCGCCACCCAGACGTCTTGCCCTGCCGGCGCCACCCAGACGTCTTGCCCAGCTGGCCCCAGCCCGGCTCCTTTCCCTGCCGGCTTCAGCCCGGCTCCTTTCCCTGCCGGCACCACCCAGACGTCAAGCCCTGCCGGCCCCAGCCCGGCTCCTTGCCCTGCCGGCACCACCCAGACGTCTTGCCCAGCCGGCTCCAGCCCGGCACCTTGCCCTGCCGGCACCTACCAGACGTCTTTCCCTGCCGGCACCTACCAGACGTCTAGCCCTGCCGGACCCAGCCCGGCTCCTTGCCCTGCCGGAACCTACCAGACGTCTAGCCCTGCCGGACCCAGCCCGGCTCCTTGCCCTGCCGGAACCTACCAGACGTCTAGCCCTGCCGGACCCAGCCCGGCTCCTTGCCCTGCCAGAACCTACCAGACGTCTAGCCCTGCCGGTCCCAGCCCGGCTCCTTGCCCTGCCGGCCCCAACCAGACGTCTTGCCCTGCCGGCCCCAGCCCGGCTCTTTTTCCTGCCGGCCCCAGCCCGGCTCCTTGCCCTGCCGGCGCACCCCAGACGTCTTGCCCGGCTCCTAGCCCCTCCGGCTCCCCTCTGGTCTTCAGCCCCGCCGGCTCCCCTCTGGTCTTCAGCCCCGCCGGCTCCCCTCTGGTCTTCAGCCCCGCCGGCTTTAGTTAAGTCGCCTCTAGACCAGCCGGCTCCCCACAGGCCTTCATACCAGCCGGCTCCCCACCGACCTCCTGCCTTGTCTCCCCTGATAGACTCTCCCTGGGTCGTCCCTCCTGCTCCTCCCTGGTGTTCCCTCTCTGCACCCTGGACGGACCCTCCGAATCCACCCTGGACTGTCCCTCCTGATCCTCCCTGGTCTTGCCCTCCCATCCCTCCCTTGTTTGTCTTGTTGGGTCTGGCTTGGCTTCCCTCCCTCCCTCCCTTCATGTTGTCTTGCCTGTTCACCCCCCTGTCTTGTGTCTGTTGATGTTGCCTGTTTTGTTGTCTTCTAGTGTTTCTTGTCTGTCTTGTACCTTGTTGGATGTTCCCTTTAGGGACGCCAGGTGGCGTCCCTTTTGGGGGGGGCTAGTGTCAGGGTTCTGCCACTTTGGTCTTGTAAATTCTTGTTTTTGTGGCAGAGCTCTGACACTTCTCATGTCGGGTCCTGTTTCTGTCTCTGTGTGAGCGCGCGCCGTCGTGGGTGTACGTAGAGTGTGCGCGCTCCTGCTTGACGCGGCCGCGCGCGCGCTCTGCGTCACTCAGACGCGTGCGCTCTTGTACTCGTGTTTGTGTTTTCGTTTGTCAGCAGCGTGGTGTTTCATTCCCAGCGTCTCAGTCTTGTTGGTTTTGGTCGGCGCTGGGATGAAGCATGCACGCTGCGTGTGTGTGCGCACGGTGAGTGCTTTCATTCATCGTGTGCTCGTGTCTTGCGTCTTTTGTCAAAGCACGTGGCTCGGTGTTTACATTGTGGTCACGTGCTTTTGTCGTGTGCTTCAGTGTTGTGTTGTGTGAGCGCATGGCTTGTATTGTCTCTCTGTGTCATGCGCTCTCCCGTCTATTGTCTTGTCCCACCCACCTTGTTACCTTGTTTGTAATTATTATTTTCACCTGTCCGCCTGTCTGTTTATTGGTTTGTCTTTCCTATTTATTCTCCTAGTGTGCTCTGTTCTGTGCTGGTCCGTTATTGATTGTTTCCTTCCCTGTTGTACGTAATTTGCTGTTTCTGTTCTACAACAGTGGTTAAGTTGTGTGTCTGCCAAGTTCCTGATTCTTGAAGTCTAGTTGAGTGTATAACCATGTCGTGTTTTTCCCCACATGGGGAGATTTGAGTTTTGTTTTTGTTTTATTTTTTCAATAAATTCTTCATTCCCCGCATTTGGGTCCTCGCCTCCTCTTCATCACCCTCATACCCTGACAGTAAACAGCCACCCTGATCTGATGCAGAAGACAAACAGTCCTTTTGGCCTTTTTTTTATCATTTTGACCCTTTTTTTTTGGTGTTTTTGGAGCTTGAAGCCACATTGAATGTTTTGATAGTGTAGACTTGTGTTTGACTCATTATTTACAGTGTTTAGCATATACAAGTACACCCCTAACAAATCTTTTAAATTCATATTTTAATAGGAAGCTGTACAAAATTATATTTGTGCATATACATTAGATCCATAAACGAGTACACCCAAATTTACATGTTATAGAAAAATATTAAATGCAAATTTAAAAAAGAGGAAAAAATCAAGAGAAGCAAAAAAATTTAACATTTTAATTGAATCTAAAATCTAAATCTGTTTTGTTTAAATGCGCCAAAATACATTGTCTATATTCACTGAGAAATGGATGAAAATAATTATTTTCAACATGGAGTGTACTCAAATATGCTGAGCATTGTACATACTACATGTGTGAAGCTGTGGGCAGAGCTAAATAGGGCGCGATGCAGGTGTTGGTCTTCATTAGTTTATATGCAGTATTGCGTCACAACTTGTCATTTTGAAAGATTGGCTTCAATTTGTAGACTAAAAACATTTTAACTTCTAAAATTTACAGGATGTCTTTATTGTACAGTGACCTCTTACATGTCAAAAGATCAAGGGAATTTTTATTTCTCAGTTCATGACCCCTTTTTAAACAAATTAAAGGGATAGTTCACCCAAAAATGAAACTGTTTACTGTTTACCACTGTTTACTCACTCTCATGTTGTTTCAAACCTTTATGAGTTTCTATATTCTGCTGAACACAAAAGAAGATATTTTGAAGAAAGCTGAAAACCTAGTAACCATTGAGACTTCCATATTAGGAAAAACAAATAAAATGGAAGTCAGTAGGTTTCCAGCTTTTGTCAAAATATGTTTTTCGTGTGTGTTTAACTGAAGAAAGAAAGCCAAACAGGAACAAGTGAAAAGTGAGGAAATGATGACATAATCTTAAGTTTTAGCTGAATTATTTATTTTTATATTCATTCATTCATTTTCCTTCAGCTTAGTCCCTTTATTCATCAGGGGTCGCCACAGCAGAATGAACCGCCAACTTATCCAGAATATGTTTTACGCAGCGGATGCCCTTCCAGCTGCAACCCAGTACTGGGAAACATCCATACACACTCATTCACACACATACACTACTGCCAATTTAGTTTATTTAATTCACCTATACCCACATGTCTTTGAACTGGAGCACCTGGAGAAAACCCACACCAACATGGGGAGAACATTCAAACTCCACACAGAAATGCCAACTGACACAGCCTGGACTCGAACCAGCGACCTTTATTCTGTGAGGTGACAGTGCTAACCACAGAGTCACCGTGTCGCCCTAGCTTAGCATTGTATTTATTCATTAAAGTTTAGTCTAAAGTACTTTTATTTATTTTAATAAATCAGACCTTTTTATTTTAGTTTTGCTCATTTTATCGCAACGTTTGCATTTTTATTAAATTTCTCAATTTTGTCCGTATAATCACATTTCCTTGTTGCCAGTTTATTATTATGGTACATTCTAGTTCATGTAAACCCACCACTAAATGGAACATAAAAAAATGTAAAAAAATTAATTAATGGTTTTCATTTAATGACTTCCTTTAAAGATATTGTCAGTTGTAATAGGCGGCACGGTTGTTAACGCTGCAAGAAGGTTGCTGGTTGGAGTCACGTTGGCATCTCTGTGTGGAGTTTGAATGGTGCCCTAGCGTTTGCGTGGGTTTCCTCCAGGTGCTCTAGTTTCCCCCACAGTCCAAAGACATGCGGTACAGGTGAATTGAATAAGCTAAATTTGCTGTAGTGTATGTGTGTGGATGAGAGTGTATGGATATTTCCCTGTACTAGCTTGCAGCTGGAAGGGCATCTGCTGCGTAAAACATATGCTGGGTAAGTTGACGGTTCATTCCGCTGCGGTGACCCCTGATAAATAAGGGAAGGAAAATGAATGAATGAATGAATGTCAGCTGTAATTAAATTGTCCTATACACAATGATGTCCTCACTGAGATCTGCATTATTTTTACATATTCTGATGTAATTGCAGGGGTGAACCAGTTCTGTCAGGATATCGTGGACATGATCTGCCGATGTCCTCCCTGGTGCACTAAAATGCTGCTGTACTTCAAAGCCTGCTGGGTAGTTTTCACTCCATTCCTGCTAACGGTGGGTGTCGTGTTTTTGATTAAGATGCTATTTAGAATCAGTCTCGTGATAAAACATTCAAAGCTTGACATGTCTTGTCTGATAGTTTAAAATAAGTTTCAGTTTTATTAAAGGTTAATGTTTCGATCCAACATGTTTAAGCATGCATGTTAGCTTCATTAAACTCACTGGCTCATGTTTTAGATTGTTAGGATTTTATAAGCAAAATTTAGCACGTCTTGCATGTTTTGTCACATTGACATTATGTTTTTAGCATGGTTTCAGTATGAAAACAATGCTAACTGTAAAGGTTGAACATGTTGCTAACATGTTTCTTGTAATATTTTGCACTATCGATGTTTTAGCGTGTTGCTACAACAATTTATTTTAAGCATTATTAGCCTACCACACTGAATTTTTAGAAACGTCCCTGCTGAAAAATCAAGCTTAAACCAGCATAGGCTGGTTGGCTGGTTTTAGCTGGTCGACCAGGCTGGTTTTAGATGGGTTTGGGCCATTTCCAGGCTGGTTTCCAGCCATTTCCAGCCTGGTCTTAGCTGGTCAGGCCGGTAAATGACCGGCTAAATCCAGCTAAAACCAGCTTGACCAGCCTGGTTTAAGCTGGACATAGCTGGTTTTGGCTGGGCTCCCAGCCTGGTCAAGCTGGTTTTAGCTGGTCATCTCCCAGCTTGACCAGCTAAGACAAGGCTGGAAATGGCTGGAAACCAGCCTGGAAATGGCCAAAACCCCTCTAAAACCAGACTGGTCGACCAGCTAAGACCAGCCAACCTGCCTAGGCTGGTTTAAGCTGTTTTTTTCAGCAGGGTTGCCAATGTTTCTAGCTAAATTTATTATACTGCTAGCATGTTTTTAGTTTGATTTAAAACACTGCTTGCTAGAAACGTTGATTGTTTTAGTTAGGTTCTAGCATGACGTAGCTCACTGTGTCTACACGTTTCTAATATGATAAAAAACCACTGCTAGTTGTATTGTAACATGTTGCTAGCCATTTTCTGTCATGATTTAAAACACTTTTTGTAGCCTACAATTTAACTCACCTTAGCATATTTTAGCATGTTCCCAGCACAATTCTTAATACATTACCACATAAAGGATCAAATTTCTAGAAAAAGCTAGCCTATTTTTAGTTTGGTTTAGCACACTGCTAACATGTTTTAGATGTTTCATGCAGTTACAAGCACAATTTTTCACATTGCTGGTGTGTTCTGCAAACATTCCTTTCCAGATTTAGCATTTTTTCATCATTTAAAACACTTCCAGCTAGCACAATGCAAACATGTCTCTAGTGGGATTCAGCACAGTCCGTAATAAAGTTTTAATTTGCAGATTTATAGCATGATTTAAATGTTAATAATGTAGCTCATGCTAGGGTCAGAGTAGCCTGAAGGTCTGTGAGATTTTCATGGTCAGGTCCAGAGTTGTTTTTATGATCAGAAGTGTGTCTCTGCTACCTGTAGAGTGGAATCAAACACCGTCAGTCCTGTGTCCAGTGTCATGAATAATTCAAATCTAATGGGACACTGGATCTCACTGACAGTGATGCTTCTATTCACAGAGCGCTCTCTCTCTCTTTTATTCACAATGTTACAGAGATTGTTTTCTGTGTACAGTTCATCCTGACCTATATCTTCATTGAGATGTACCGAACTTCTCTGCGCTATGGCTCATATGTGTATCCGATTTGGGGCAAAGCTCTGGGTGTTTGTATGGGCGCCTTATGCTGCCTGCAGATCCTCATCTGGGCGATCGTGGCCATCAGTAAAGAGTCTGGAACTCTTAAAGATGTAAGTCTAAACAAACATACAATCCAATACACTACACTATGAGATATTAAAACTATAATTACTATATTTTAAAATGATAAGTAATATATAATGTACATGTATAATGTGCTAAAAGAGTTTAAAGCGATAGTTCACCAAAAAATGAAAATTGTCATAATTTAATCACCTCACTTGTTCCAAGCATTTATAAGTTTCTTTCTTCTGCTGAATATAAAAGAAGATATTTTGAAAAGTGCTGAAAACTGGTAACCATTGACTTCTATAGTATTTGTTTTTCTACTATGGAGGTCAGTAGCTGTGTCTCCTTTCAGAGGCTGCATCCTCTGACGGATGCAGACTTCAAAGGTAAGTCCTTCGAAGTCCACACAGACTGAACCGAGCGTTTTAAAATGAGACGATCTAGCCTACAGAGGACTGATCTCATCACCAGGCCACCATAACAGCTGCTGTTAGTGAGCCGTTTTAAAATTTGTAATTACTTTTTTTTTTCAAGGAAACATAGTTTAAGCGATCTGAAGACAAAGCAAGGTTTACAAAAGCTGGAAATATATTTGCTTTGATCAATACTGGTACACATAAACATGTAAACGGTCTATAAAATCACTGTTTAGTAAGACATGTCATACTCTTCTTGATTTTCAACAAGATATTCAAGTAAAATAAACCTAATTCATACATTTAATCTGGAGTTTTCTTTTAAAAACGTCCTGCCGGTATCAGCGCGCAATAAATCTTGGGATGTTCGAGGCTGCGAAGGACCCACCGGTTGTGTCCTTTATTACCTGGGAAAGGAAGGATGCATTTTGAGGCTGCATGTGAAGGAGCCTTCTAATTCTTTTGAAATGAGACAGCCTTTTTTTACGCCCTGATGACGCAGCGCATTTTGAATGCATCCTCTGAAATGAGACCCAGCTAATGATTACAGGTTTTCAGCATTTTTCAAAATATCTTCTTTTGTGTTAAACAGAAGAAAGAAAATCTTAAGGGTTTGGAACCCATTGAGGGAGGGTAAATTTTTATGTTTGGGTGAATTATCTCTGTATGAAGTATTAATGAATCATATACAAATAAACAATTTAAATAAATTATTTAAACAATTTTTTTATTTAATAACAATAGATAATTTTTTTAACTAGTTAATACAAATAAAAAAAATGAATGGGGTGGCGCAGTGGGTAACGCTGTCACCTAACAACAAGAAGGTCACTGGTTCAAACTTTGGCTGAATTAGTTGGCACTTCTGTGTGGAGTTTGCATGTTCTCCCTGTGTTAGTGTGGGTTTCCTCCAGGTGCTCCGGTTTCCCCCACAGCACAAAGACATGCACTATATGTGAAATGGGAAAGCTTAATTGTCCGTAGTGTATGTGTGGGAATGAGAGTGTATGGCTGTTTCCCAGTGATTGGTTGCAGCTGGAAGGGCATCTGCTGCAGAAAACATATGTTGGATAAGTTGGTGGTTCATTCTGCTGTGGTGACCTCTGAATAATAACTAAGCTGAAAAAAAAATGAATAAATGAATAAATGAATGAAGTAGAAAATGTTTTAAAATAAATTTTAACAAATTGTATATTATAACACAAATTATACATAAAATGTCTAATAAATGGTTAAATTCATGATAATTGTTTATTAATTTTTATTTGTACTTCAACTTGTACTTTATTTGTGCTTTGTACTTTAACAGTCATTCTAACATGTTTCTTACACTCAGCGCTTTAAGAAATCCATCCGTCCCCTGAACTCGTGGCGTGTGAACAACATAAACTCCAGCTCTCAGGAGCAGCACGTGGAGCCCCACACAATAGAGGGGCCTTTCACAGTTAACCTGACTGAAGCCGACTACACCGGCATGAACTGGGAGGGCATCAGCGAGGCGTAGCGCCGCCACTAATGTTGAGTACTGGAACAGCACTCTCTCAGAAGCACAAGTACTGGTGAGGAGGACTGCTGTACAGAGAACAGTGCACAGCTGGACTGAAACGGTGTTACTTTCTTTGCAGGACACCTAAAACCATAGCTTTTTTTATATTTATGACAACATGGCCCATTTGACATCGGGACTAAAAGCCAAAGCAAGAAGCATAAAAGACGTTTGGATTATCTGGCTGAATCCTTGACACCCCGAGATTCCGTTTCATGAAAGAATGTACAAGACTGTTTTATAAGATAACAGACTGTGTAAGTTTATCTGTTTTACATTTACATTGAAATGTACAATCATATACAAGAGCAAGGCCAAATCAAATCAGGGCAACATCACAGAGTAGCAAAACTGAAGTCATTTTAGTAGTATGGGCTGAGATTGGACAATTAATCGAAGGTGATTTTCATGCTCATTTTATTAGTAAAGCCGGTTCTAGTATGATCCAGCAGGTGCCTTCAGATGGAGCATCATTTACTACACAAAGCTGATACTGACAGCGTATGCAAAATATTGTTTAGAATCCAAAACAATAGGGGCGGCACGGTGGCTCAGTGGGTAGCACTGTTGCCTCACAGCAAGAAAAAGGATGGTTTGAGTGGCCTGACTGGGCCAGGAGGCGTTTTAGTGCAGAGTTTGCATGTTCTCCCCGTGCTCTGTGTTTTCCCCACAGTCCTAAGACATGCACTGTAACTGAACTGGATAAACAAAATTGGCCTAAAGTTGGTATGAGTGTGTGTGATTGTATAGGTGTTTCCCAGTACTGGGTTGTGGCAGGAAGGGCATCCGCTGCATAAAACATATGCTGGAATAGTTGGTGCTTCATTCTGCTGTGGCGACCTCTGAAATAGAGACTAAATCGAAGGAAATGAATGAATGAACCTAAAACGATCCAAGATGATCAAGTTTGTGTCACTTTGTAGTGATTTACAGCTGTGTGCAGTAAATGCTGCACATGGAAAATACCACATTGTAACACGTTTACACTCGCAAATTCATTTAAGTGTTTTAAAGAGCAGTCTTGTGATTATTAGGCTATGTCCACACATACACGGGTATTTTTATAAATGGTATTTTAAAAAAAGGTTTTGTCCGCATGATAACACATTGTGAGGCAAGTAATGGGCACGCCAGACCAACAGGTGGCGATAGTGACACTTGTATACTGAGTTTACATCAAACTAAGTGTATTTTGCTAGTAAATTGCATTTAAGTCAATGCAAACATGAGTATACAGGCGGATTAACGTCCCATGATCAAACAATGCGGAATACGAGATTTCAAGTTCCTTATTCACTACTTTCGTGTTTGGCTTGAAACCCCGCCGTGTTGGCCAACCAGAGAGGAGAAAACAGCATGCACGCTAACATCATGAGGCTAAAACTCTGGTGTTAGCGTCTATACGACCACACTGTACCTTGAAAATCTTCACCCTGGCCAGATTCTTCTAAAAGTTGCAATTACTGTGACCTGACACTGCAGTGTCACTGCATTTTTGTGTGGACAAACAGCGAAACTGCATAGAAAAATGTGTGGTTTTGAAAATACCCGTGTTCCTGTGGACAGGGCCTTCGTCAAGCTGAATCAATGATATTGATCAATAATGCAACACTATGCGGATTTCCTTGGTGTCTTTATGTTTGGAGTTTCCACATGAGAGCGTCCTCTGTCCTTCGGTAGGAGATTTACTAGTAAACACACAACCGTGCTTTCCTATCTAGATGTGCATGATCAATCGCATTTTACATTTAATTTCGATGAGTTGCCCAGTCCTAGAAAAGGCCCGACATGCCAAGGAACATGAAGATGTAGAAATATGAATGTAAAACAATGTCACAGAAATCATTTTCATAAAACATTTTCCAGATAATAAACACAGAAATATCTGTGCATTTGAAGTTACAGACTTCAAAACTGCAACATGCATATATTAAACAGTATGAAATCTTGTGTTGTGTCGGATGTCTTTTAGCCTTTAAGGACAATAACTGTCACTATAAAATAGTTTTACAAATCATCTGGAGGAGCTCAACCAATTGAGATCCACCAATTTACCAATATGCTCAAAACTATTTGCGAAGAGGTTGCTAACACATGTTACTATGAGCTATTAGATATAAAAAGTCTGACAGCCAATCAGAATCAATCCTGCTTGAATGAGCTAGGGAATTTAAACTTAAGTGTGGACATGGTTACTGTTATTGTATTAGTATTCATTTTTAATTATGACCAGATGATAATGACAATTGTTTTAGGAAAGGTATTAATATAAATGAATAGTGGAGTCCACAAAACAACTATTCACAATGTCGCAGAGGAGCGATATCATTGGAATTATTAACAAATTTGGCCTCCTGCTTTCATGCTTTTCATTCATCCTGTGACAGACAATAAAATTACATTAAAAATCCATTGGGGCAGACAGTAATAAAGTCATGCATATAATATTTTAAAAAGAAACTTGAAAATGTAAAGCAACAGATGATAAAGCTGACCAAGGCTCATTCTGAATATGTAACACTATATACATTACTGGAAAGCGCCAAATACGCCCCTGGAAATATGTTGTTTTTTTGCAGTTTTTGTTTTCGTGAATCCACCGGAGGCCGCTGTGTACACTTTTAGAGATCTCAAATTTCTTTTGCGCGAACTGTTCTCGCCTGAATCCACTAGCGGCCGCTCTCGACTGACTGACTGATTGACTGACCAACCCTCCTCCTTCCTAAACCCAACCAATAGTGTTTTCAAAAACCCAACCGACAGTTTTCTAAAAACAATCCAGAAAACTGAAAAAGATCTCACCTGATTTTTACCATGTTTCCAGATTTTACCACATTTTCACCCTGTTATTTACTTGTTTATTTAATTTTTTGGATTCTATTTTTTGTCTTACTTTTTGGAACCATTCTTTGCTGGACTTAAACCCTGTCATCACTGTCAACTCCATACATACTTCTGGCTAGATAATTCGCGATCTCCAGAAATTTATATAGGGCTAGGTTTTCAGAATGAGCCTGTGTTGGATAATAAACATGCCTATAGACTGATTGAGGCATCATAATCTCAAAACTAACTTTTTTTATTAGTTAAATTTTTGAAGGCTGTCGACCATCACCCCAAAAAAAGAGGGGACGCAAAGTTTAGAAGACACAAAAGTAGAGAACGCAATGTATCGTATAAGAGAATTAACCTTTAGCCCACTCAAGGCAAACAAAACTGATGACAGGAACCACTGATTATTTTTATTTTTACAGAATGTACCCTGTTCTAACCATCACAAACATTTAAAGTGACAGACAATAAAACTACATTAAAAGTCCTTTGGGGCAGACAGTAAAATAGTTATGCATATCCTTTCAAGAGGTGACGCAGTGGCGCTGTAGGTAGTGCTGTTGCCTCACAGCAAAAAGGTTGCTGGGTCGCTGGTTCGAGCCTCGGCTCAGTTGGCATTTCTGTGTGGAGTTTGCATGTTCTCCCTGCGTTCGTGTGGGTTTCCTCCAGGTGCTCCGGTTTCCCCACAGACCAAAGACATGCGGTACAGGTGAATTGGGTAGGCTAAATTGTCCGTAGTGTATGAGTGTATTTGTGAATGTGTGTGTGTGGATGTTTCCCAGAGGTGGGTTGTGGCTGCGTAAAAACGTGCTGGATAAGTTGGCGGTTCATTCGACTGTGGCGACCACAGATTAATAAAGGGACTAAGCCGTTAAGAAAATGAATGAATAAATCCTTTAAAGAGCTTGAAAATGTAAAGCAACAAATGATAAAACTAATCCAGGCTCATTCTGAATATGTACCCCATATACATTTCTGGAAAGTGGTAAATACGTCCCAGGAGATGTTTTTTTTGTGTGTATGCTTTTCAAGCAGCTGCAGTTGACTGACCAACCTTCCTCCTTCCTTGACCCGCCCACCTAACTCCCTAAACCCAACCAACAATTTTCTAAAAAAATCCAGAAAAAGAAAAGCCCTCGCCTGGTTTTTACCATGGTTTTTAGATTTTACAACATTCTCACCCTGTTATTTGTTTACTTTATATTTTGGATTCTGTTTTTGTCTCTTGCTTTTTTGGAACTATTCTTTGCTGGAATCAAACCCTGTCGTCACGGTCAACTCCTCTCTGCAACTGTGGGAAAGACAAAAGTAAACAGTCAGCTGGTTAGTGTGAAAGGAACGGCGGCATACCACAACGAAATGCAGCCATAAGTACTTCTAGCTACATAATTCGCTATCTTCAGAAATATATATAGGGCTACATTTTCATAATAAGCCTGTGTTGGATAAAACAGAAACATGCCTATAGAGACTGATTGATGCGTCATAATATTAAAACAAACTTTTTTATTAACTACATTTTGAAGGCTGTCGACCATCACCCCCCCCAAAAAAAGGGACGCAAAGTTTAATGGACACAATGCATGGTTCAGGATCGGAAAAGCTACACATCGATGAATTTGCTCTTCAGTGTTTGGACTCTCAGTAATGATTTTAAACCACTGAACTGAGCTAAACTAAACTGAACTTAAACACTAAAAACTGAACTACCCTGTTTCAGTTATTATGACCATTTATGTGAAGCTGCTTTGACACAATCTACATTGTAAAAGTGCTATACAAATGAAGCTGAATTGAATTGAACACAAAAGTAGAGAGCGCAATGTGTCATATTAGAGAATTAACTTTTAGCCCACTCGAGGCAAACAAATAAAACATTAATTAATTTAGTAACTATTTTCAAAAGGTTGTAAATGTATGAGAATAGCAGAGTATACTATAAAACGAACAATAACAAAACAGAAACACAATATCGTCACTTTCAGATCTATTTTGTTTCGAGCTGATGAACAATAACAAGACTGACTTCCAATCAGAATCTACGCTGTTCTAACCACCACAAACATATAAAGTGACGGACAATAAAAAATAAATACAAATACAAAAATATTAACGTTTACACTTTGGTTCGGGTGCTAATATAGTTATTAATATTGGTGTGAACAAGCCTTTTAAAAGTATAGTTCATCCAAAAATGAAAATTCACCCATTAATTCACCTTTTGCTTGTGCAAACCAATTTGAGTTTCTTTCTTCTGTTGAACACAAAGGCAAACTATTTTGAAAAAAGTCATTTTTTCTTACTACGGAAGTCGAATGGGCCCAACGGCCAACATTCTTCAAAATATCTTATTTTGTGTTCAACAGAAGTAATTCGTAAACGTTTAAAACCACACAAGGGAGAGAAAACAATGACCACTTTCATTTTTGGGTTAACTAGCCCTTTTATCGTTAAATAAGCATTTTTAGACCTCTTTAGAATATCTTTTCAAAATGCCACACATCCAGCAAACAAAATGACAATGCTTTCATGATTGTTCTCAGCGAGGTCTGTTTACCCAGGGCCGATTCAGCATATTTGAGCGCTCAGCCAGACGTCCTCACGACAGAGCTGTGTTTATTCAGGGCACTATGGGAACGCTGGTAAACCAGGCCTCGCTGTAGACATGAGCTCTTCCTGCTATCTTGATTTAGACGCTTTCTTCATTTCATGCTCTGTTGTACAGCAAACAAACCTTCAGTGGATGTTAAATACTGTACGCCAGAGGAGTGTGTAGGTAAAAGAGCAACGACTCTAGTGATCAGTGTTTAGAATAACTGCTGTGTTCAGATGAACTGTTCAGTAGTGTTGTGTGTTTGATAGTGTATTTCTATTAGCAGTGATGGCAAATCTACTTCCTGTGATGGTTTCAAAATGACACATTTATCACCAGCTTTATGATGTAAAATGAGGTTTCATAAAAACACCGCTGAGGAAGTTACAGACACAAATTCAGCTCTAAAAACCATCAAAGGCTTTTTTTTCACAAGATCATTTGATTTTTTTATTGTCTGTGGCTTTTTTTTTTGTTTTATTTTAAAAACTAATTCGATTTACAGCCCAATTTCATTTGTGAGCATTAGGTTTCCTCATTAGGTAACATGAAAAATACACCTATTACAGTTTTTTTTTCAGTCGCTTTGGTGCATTTCTCAAATCAGAACTGAAACTCTTGCAAAACAGAAAGTGCATTTCTCAAAACAATATGTACAAATATCTAAACACCAAGGATTATCTGCAAAAGCCAGTCTCTTGCTCAAAAAACTTAGTTCATCTTTGAAAACTACATTTCTGTCAATGAATGTCAGCGCCATCAGAATTAAAAGTCGTCGTGTCATTGTGTATAGATAAGACAGGCAAGTTACTTAGTCATGTTGTCAGTACTCTGGAGGGGTGTTCTGATATAAAATATGGATATAAATGATTATTTTTGGCTGTTTGTACTGTAATTTGTTGGAAGATCTTGTCATTGTGATACAGAAAGAAAAAGACAGCACTGTAGCACAAAGAAAAACAAAACTAAGTGAAGTTTATTTATAAACAAATTTCAATAGGGTCACGTGCTTATGGTTGTTCACAGCTGTTCCGACTTTAGCTAATGACTAATTATCCTATCAGATGATAGTTACCTCACTATACATAACCAGACTTTTCTCATCTCAATATTTTCATCTTGAAGAAACCCCCTCACCAAACCCTACTTTCCCTCCTTTCAAACGGGCGACACGGTGGCCAGCGATTAGCGCCTCACAGCAAAAATGCCCCTGCTTTAATTCCCTTCCAAACCAGGCGACATTTCTCTGCGGAGATTTGCTCGTTCTCCCCATGCTCGTGTGGGTTTTCCCCGGGTCCTCCGTTTTCTTCCCATAGTTCAAAAACAAGCACTCTACACAATTAATCCAAAATATTTTAGCCAAGCTCTAAGTACACCTTCTAAGCATCCATTTCTGACACTTAGCTACAATAAGCAGGAGGGGGAGTCATAGAGATCTTCCTGAGCTTAAACTCCCCTCTCGCCCTGCAACGGAAGGGAGCCCAGGGCTCGAGGATCTTATGAGCTCAGCGCTCTCTCCCGGGACAGCATGCCAAACAAGCTCTATTATCAATCATCAGCTAAGTGTGAACTCTTGAAAGTAAATGTGAGGATGGGAATCTCCTTTGTGATGCACCTTTATTAGGAAAAAAAGGCAAGATTCAACTGGGAGAAATGTACCAATTGTAGACAGATTTAGAAAAAAAAAGTCTAATGGAAATGTATAGAAAAAGCGTTCTGATAAAATATTATGACAACTTGTTCTGCTATTTTGCATGTGAAGATTTACGCCATGAACAAAGTATTAAATGTTATGAGGGGTGAGTCTATTAAACTGAGATTAAAATAATAGATTTCGATCAACATGACATCAGCAATTGATAATGTAGGGAATATCAGAGAATTGCACTTAATCATGTGCACGGATGTACAAAAGCATTTGCAACTTGTTCAAAAGAATAAGAGACTGCTTTTCTGATGCGCACAACTGACACAATGAGGTGAAGATTGAACAGGGAGTTTTGAGAATTTCAATTCTGATCTGAGAAATTAACCAAAGTGACTAAGAAAATCTGTCATTGAAGATACATTTTATAATGTATTATCTAATATTATTTATTGAAATCTATCTATATATTTATTTATAAACATAAAAAAAAGAGTAATATTTAATGAAAAAAATGTTTGCTCATTAGATAATGCATCAATATTGTCAACTAATGGACCTTGCTTTAAAATATTAGTCAAAAAAATGTAAGTAAAAGCATGGTCAGTTATTATTATAAATATTAAGAGGTCAAATATGAAATATTAAAATCTCAAAAACCTGAATTCATACAAATATGCTTATAAAATGGTTGATGCTCAATAAATGATTATTAATATTAAAGTAAGGTAATATATCAATGTTAAAAGTATTTTCTGTATATATTTTATTTGGAAGCAGATTCTTTATATGTGTACTTTAAGTAGATTTGTTTAACGGGAACTGATTTTTAGGACTAAACATAATATATGTATAACCTTAGCGTAAGATATTTATACATTTCTTCCATAACATTATACATGCCTTCAATTCAGGGTTTATACACATTTTTACCACGAAAACTCCATGATTTTTTTAAGACTTTCAAGTAAATTTTCATGGCCTAATGTTTTATGCAATGTCTACATATGCTTGGTAAAAAAAAAAACAATGCATGTAAACATTGATTATAGCATATTGTAAAACACACAACAATCTATTTAGTTTCAGCTTATATTTACATCTATGTAAAATTGATTTAGATAATACTCACACCACACTAATAAGGTGAGGTGATGTAATTGGGCAAAAACAGAAAAGAAGTCAATAACAAATTTAAGTATACAGAGACAGCTGAAGTCAGAGTTCTTAGATCCCCCCCCCCCCCCCCTATAACTTATTGTTTTTGTTTTTTTAATTATTTCCAAATGTTATTTAACAGAGCAAATACATTTTCACAGTTTGTCTGATAATATTTTGTTCTTCTGGAGAAAGTCAGATTTGTTTTATTTTGGTTAGAATATAAGCAGATTTTAATTTTTTTTTACAAAATTTAAGGTCAGAATTATTAACCCCTTTAAGCAAATTGTTTTAGACTGTCTACAGAACAAACCATCATACAATAACTTGCCTAATTACCCTAACCTGCCTAGTTCACCTTATTAAGCCTTTAAATGTCACTTTAAGCTGTATAGAAGTGTCTTGAAGAATATCTAGTCAAATATTATTTACTGTCATCACGGCAAAGTTAAATAAATCAGTTATTAGAAATGAGTCATTAAAACTATTATGTTTAGAAATGTGTTGAAAAAGGCGGTTCATTCCGCTGTGGCGACCCCGTATTAATAAAGTGACTAAGCTGAAAGAAAATTAATGAATGTGTGTTAAAGAAATCGTCTCTCCGTTAAACAGAAATTGGGTAAAAAATAAACAGGGTGGCTAATAATTCAGAGGGGCAAATAATTCTGACTTCAACTGTGTCTGTTTTCCATGACTTTTCCAAAACTTTGTGGGTTTTTCTGTTTTTCCAAAACTTTTCCATGTCAAAATTTCATTTTATTTTAAATTGTTTAACTTTTCCAGGTTTTCCATGGCCGTATGAACCGTCATTTTAATGCATCTACAGTAAAAGGATATCAAAATAGTTCTTAAAAAAACCTGACTGACCCCAAATTTTCATATTTGTTAAAATGTTAAAACATCATCAAAAATAAGATCAAAAATACTCATTTACTTTGGATTTTCATAGTGACTAGAGTATATGCACACTATTTGTTTTTCTAAGGATGTTAAAAATACAATTTAAAATGTAATTCTGAAAAAAGTTTTATTTTTATAAAGTTAAAAAAGGTGTTTTTAAACCGTAAAACAAGATACTCCCCAGCTTTAAACTTCCAAAACAACCTTCCTTTTATTTTAAATATCTTATTTTATTAGTTGTCGAGTGTGAAAGCAATTCAGAAAGAATGAAGCTAAAGGCAAGTAGACACAAGCCCACAGTGAGGAACAGACACACAAATATTACAGTCTCAGCCACAGCTCTCCTCCATAACAACTGGCAACATTTACACTCCAATTTCAGCAGAAAGCAAGCAGCAGCGAGATATTTTCAGCCTCATGTTCATCTCTCAGTACACAAAGATCCTGCCAATAACAAACCGTATGCTGTGTTTATGAGCAAACACTTTCTCTGGGCTGCGTTTGAAAAAGGAAATAAGTCAGAAGACGCAAATTGTATGTAAAACGGCAGGGGATGAAAGCATTTGCATGTGCTCCAGTGTTTGTTTTGAGCTCACGCTAACTACAGTTGAAAAACAATAGAAACACACACTAAAAATTGGACAATGCCGCCAGGTACGGAAGCCTGTTTGTGACAAAGGATTAAAGAAACAACTAAAGGTTCTTTGTAACTATATATCAGCAAATTCTGGATTTCCCTGTTGAAAAAAAACTGCTGAAACCATCCTAAACTGGTTGGCTTGTTTTAACTGGTCGACCAGCTTGGTTTTAGAAGGGTATTGGTCATATCCAGGCTGTTTTACAGCCTTTTCCAGACCGGTCTTAGCTGATCAGGCTGGAAAATGACCAGCTTGAACCAGCTTGACCAGCCTGATTTAGGCTAGACATAGCTGGTTTTGTCTGGGCTCCTAGCATGGCTAGGGTGGTCAAGATGGTTTTAACTGGTCATGTTCCAGCCTGACCAGCTAAGACCAGACTGGAAATTGCTGAAAACCAGCCTGGAAATGGCCAAAACCCCTCTAAAAACAGGATGGTGGACCAGCTAAAACCAGACTAGACTGGTTTAAGCTGTTTTTTCAGCAGGGATTTTCCTTAAAATATTTCAGTTTGTATCTCACAATTCTGACTCATCTCTAATTCGCCATTGTATGAAATAATAATTCTAATAATAAATCTAAGAGTTGTGAAAATCACAGAAAGAAAAGTCAGTATTCCAAGATAAAAGGGTTCTCATTATATTTCTCATAATTAAGTCTTCTGTTTCAGTTATTGCAAAAAAAAAAAAAAAAAAACTTTATATGGGTCAAAAATATTTGTATTAGAATATTAAGTTCATATTTCATAAAGTCATTTTGTATATCAACTACCATAAATATATCAAAACATCATTTTTGATTAGGTATATGCACTGAATGTAAGTTTGGACAACTTTACAGGCAATTTTCTCAATATTTTGATGATTGATGACCCTCAGATTCCAGATTAGCTCATCTAGGCATGGGCACGATTCTGCCAGTACGATAACCTTGGATAAAAATATTATGGTTTCTCTGTATCACAGTATTGTGATTACCGCTCTAAAATAGGTTCTTTTTAAATGTCTGGGTAAAAAACTTTTTTTTTCTCCATTGAACATTTATTTTAATAAAGATTTATAATTTTAAGAACCGTAGCTTTGATGTGAAGGGTCTTTTCTACTGTTGCCCTAAAACAAACTAAATAAAACAATCATTAAAAAAAAAAACACTTGCATATGCACTACCTGGAAAAAAGTCTTGTTGTCTATCCAACTTTTAAAAACAGCGAATAATAACTTGATTTTTTGGTATCAGAAGTGGCTTATATGAAAGGCAGAGGCCTCTGAATTACGCTTATTTTATCAGAATAAAAGATAATCATGCCTTGATTTTTTTATTATTTAATTAGGACAGGGAAGTCTAACTTTGCTTAGACAAAAGTCTTGTCACTTAACAGAAATAATGTACAGTATAGAATATGCAGTGTCGTGTTGCAGTGGAAAAAGAATTAATATTGTGTATGATTACCATGAACTTGGAGGACTGCATCCATACATCTCTGCAATGACTTAAATCCCTTAGTAATAAAGTCATCTGGAATGGCAAAGAAAGCGTTCTTGCAGGACTCCCAGAGTTCATCAAGATTCTTTGGATTCATCGTCAATGCCTCCTCCACTTTATCCCAGACAAGCTCAATAATGGTCATGTCTGGTGACTGGGCTGGCCAATCATGGAGCACCTTGACCTTCTTTCCTTTCAGGAACATTGATGTGGAGGCTGAAAAATGAGAAGGAGCGCTATCCTGAAGAATTTACCCTCTCCTGTGGTTTGTAATATAATGGCTGTTGATGTTACCATCCACTCTGCAGATCTCTCACGCACCTCCATACTGAATGTAACCCCAAACCATGACTTTACCTGCACCAAACTTGACTGATTTCTATGAGAATCTTGGGTCCATGTGGATTCCATTAAGTCTTCTGCAGTATTTGTGATGATTGGGATTGACCTTCTGCCTTCTTTTCAAATGATCAACTAGAAGTTAAGTTATTATTTGTTGCGCTTACAACTGGCATCGACAACAAGACCTGTCAGGTAGTGTACTGGTAAAACGGTATAACATCAAATTTTGGAGGTACTTCTTGTAACTGCGGTAAGCCTTTAAAGCGGTCATCGTCCTATGCCTAGTCGTATCCTAAATCATAAATCAATGGAAAGCTCATTCTTCCAGCTTTCAGAAGATGCATACATCTCAATATCCAAAAACAGAGCCCTATGACCAGGGTCGCATATTATTTGACAGAAACAAAAATTGAAATATGAAATATAAACTCACAGCTCAGAGTAAAAAAATCTGAATCATGTGAGAAAATTGATTTCCATGACAGAAACAAGCTTCCATAAGCTGGCGCCCTTATTTTCTGAAGTAAATAAATAAACATACAGTGATATCATACCTGTTCCCAACAAATGCCTGTTTCTGCTGCCGTTGGTCGACACAAATACACCAAGAAAAAAAGAATAAACCTAAAAACAATCCACATAAATTACACCTTCCTACCAAACCCTTCTCCAAATGTAGCACACGACTGGTCCTTTCCTGTTTATTTCTTAGGCCTCCGGAAGATTTTAGGAAAGCCATGTTTCTTGCGTCCTGAGCCGGAGCCCTCAGTGTCTTCTCCAGTGGAGCCATTGTCCTCATCCACTAGGCTCCTCCTGCTGGCGATATGGGACACGCGGATGCCAGCTCGAGACAGGGTGTCCTGCTCAGAGGTGAAGTTGAGGGAGTGCAGGGAGTCGCCGGAGATCAGGCTTGAGGGCTGCGAGTTGATCTCTCCCAGGCTAGCGCACTTCTCCATGCCGAAGCTCTTCTTCTGAAGCAGAGGGCTGTCAGTGGAGGAGCCGCCGTTGGATCGGGACGGTTTATTGTAGAGGGGAGTTGAGGAGCAGCGATGGCCGTCTCCGTACTGAGACATGGAGAGAGACGAGTCAGATTCGGAGCGGTTCAGATCCCTGGACAGAGGAGAAGAGAGCGTGTCAGAATCTGATTGTGAGCTGGTGTCAGTAGTCAGCATGAAAGGACAGACGCAATGCATTTTACTGCCATATAGACCCTGGCCCATGAAGATTTCCTGCTTGTTGTCAAATTATTTCATAACTAACAAGAGGCAATTCAATCATAACTTAATGATAAAACAGCTATCCTAACATTATTTATCAATCTGTGGCTCTTTTTTGATTCAAGAAAGCTCTAGAAATGAAAAATGTAAAACAGGAAATATGCTGGGACCATTGTTTTTGTTTACATCCCTCAAAACAGTCTATAGAAAGAGTGAAAGACAAGACGCCTCATTTATAAAACACTTGGCAAATAATTTTCTAAATTGCTTCTATTTTGTAAGTGCGATTCAGAATCAAAGTTGTGTATACGGTGCTCTTTTTTGACATTTACAAATAGCAAATGATCTTGAAATTGGGAGTAGCTAGCAGTTGTCAGATCTCCGGCTTGTACACCCCCTAAGTCAGGGATCACCAAACTTGTTCCTGGAGGGCCGGTGTCCCACAGATTTTTAGCTCCAACCCTAATCAAACACACTTGAACAAGCTAATTAAGGTCTTACTAGATATTCTTGAAACATCCAGGCAGGTGTGTTGAGGCAAGTTGGAGCTAAACCCTGCTGGGACACCAGCCCTCCAGGAACGAGATTGGTGACCCCTGCCCTAAGTAATATCCAACGCAATCTCACGGCAATTCGTAACTTTTTGATTTAGTGGCTCATTCATATGAATTCATATGATCTAATTCGAACAATTCGTGCTCATCACCCAATGACGGTTGGGGTTAGGTGCCACACCTCCTTTTTAAAATCGTACATTTTCGTTCGACTGAACTTGTATGAATTCGTACGAATTAGCCACTAAACTGACAAAACGTAAAATATGTTTCCTTGTGAGATCCGGCTGGTAATATCATTATCATATAAAAGAGCACATGTCAATATCCAAGTTTATGCTTGAGAATGACGAGCACAAAGAAAAAAAGCTGGAAATTGAGGTTCTGCTAGTAGAGGTAGAAATTTGACTGTGTAAGAATCTCAAGTTTCAGTCATCTCATTAAAAATGAGCCATCCGACTTGTAAAATCACTTGCTATGACAACTAATAAAAAGTTTAGTCTCATAAAATTCTTGTAAAACTTAAAAAATTGACTGATTCTTTATTAAAAAATGAAAAAAAAAAAAGATTATTTATTAATTATTATTTACTTTGATTTGGCATTTCTTTGTTTACATTTTACTAATGCTGCTCAAATCTGCCATTAATATACTGACACAATAATATATTTTGAAAGAACATAACTTATGTAAATGACAAATGCAAAGTTTAAGATTAAAGTTAAATATCTGGAAAATTTGATTGTTCTTTAATCTCTTCAAGATTTGCTCAAGAGTATCTGTCACAAAAGTCTGCGTGTGTGAAAGTGGCTTATGATATCTGAGTGACACAAAAATGACACTTTTCCTACAGAAAGTCAGGTCCCTTCAGAAAGGCATTAATATAATTCACTCATGGTCAAATGAATTTCCCTCAGTCAGTCCTCAATTTTAAAGCTCTCACTGACTTCCAACATATTTTCATCTCGGTTGCTAAATTAGTTTAATTCTGGACAGAATTTGCCATAAGTGTTCAGAATCACTGTAATAAAATCGGCTTTTATTGATTAAAGTGGCAAAAAATTATTAAATATATGGGGGGGGGGTATATTCGCTATATGACCCCCCTAGTGCGGGTTGTGAACTCCAGGTTGAATCACTGCCATAAATTTAAGGCAGAATTTGATGATGTTTGTGGTGGATTTTGGGAAACTACTAACCTCCAAGAACTTGAAGTACATTTTACAAAGGCAAGTAGTCAAGTTTACCTTTAAAAAATATCTCAGCATATTCCATTGACTTGTTTAAAGGGCACCTATTTTACCACTTTTTCAATATTTAAGATAAGTTTTTTTGTGTCTCTAGAATGAGTCTATAAAGTTTCAGCTCAAAACACTCTTCACCTTATTTATTAGACCTTTCAGATGTTTGTTATATCAGCTCTGAACATTTTGCACTGTTTTTGTGGCCTGTGCCTTTGATGCTAGTCCTCCCCACCCATCGTTCCCACATAGAAAATAAGCTGAAAAGGTTCAGTTTTTCAGAAAAAAATTCCCCTTTCAATAGGCTGGCAACAGGCCTGATAGTGTAATGCTAATATAAAAAATTTATTAACTGATCAAGATAGTTTAATAAAGATTCCTGTTTATTTAACCATAGTACAAAAGAAACACGTCTCATATATAGGTATTATTAAAGGATGGAGCACAGGCTGTAGTTTTCTGACAAATTGTTTCAACCATAATTAGACATGCTACTCTGAGAGATTAGGATCAGGCAGGATCATATACTTTTACATGTAGCTGTTTTCAGGGCATATTATTTACAGACCATATCAGCCTGCTATAACGATAGACTTCGCATTAAATCAGGGAAAAACACGAGCATTAATGATGGACTCATTCAGCAGCAAACTTGAGATTGTGAAACACTTAAAAAAAAAAAAAAGCTCCTTATGCCGCCATCCTCGCTTGTGTGTCACACACCTCACACACCTTATTCTTGCAATTCACCTGCAGTTTAGGTGCTGCTACAGCTGAACAAAGCTACAGCCTCCCACATAACAGCAGGGAAAGGCACAGCCAATCAGTGTTCATATGTGTTTGTGGGCGGTGCCACTCGAGTAGAGAACGTGATTGAACCATTTCAGCATGTCTAGGTTAATATTGACAGCTCCATTTATTTGTGTAAATAAAATTATTGGTGGTGAGATTTCAATAGTTGATGGATATTGGTGGGAACGCATATCCTCCATCCATGCTAAATCTACACCCCTGAACCTCCCAAAATTACAGCAGCAGATTTTCCAAATATACAATCCATCACATCACCACACACTGTTTGAAATAGTTTGTTTGAAAAAAAGTCTACTATTATCCAAAAACCAAAATTAAGTATCTTAATTAATTTATTTTTTTTGGTACTTAAAAAATTGTGCTCATATTTAGATATTTAGAGGTGCCAATATTAGTGGAGGACACTGTATATTTGTCAAATACTTGAAAATGAAAGTGCGACTTTGTTAGCAAACAGTTATTTATATTTGCGTTATTAACTCACACACACATGCCTTCATTAGTCAGTGTTTGTGTGTGTGTGTGTGTGTGGTACCCGCTACTGTCTGGTTTGTGCAGACTGTGTGCTGAAGCCTCCATTGAAGAGCAGAAAGAGGAGCGATACTGAAGCGCAGAGAAGCGAGAGCACAGAGAAGAGGAGGACGAGGACAGCAGGACGGAGGGATGAGACAGAGAGGAAGACAGAGAAGCCACAGGGACAAACTCCACATGGCCGATGGAGTGACTGCGCGTCTGCCGCACACGGGGCCGTCCGGGGGCCTGCAGGGGCCCACAGTCGTCCTCTACCAACCTCTGAGAGCTCAGGTTCAGCAGCGCCTCTCCGTGTCGCGGACGCAGAGACATCAGACTGGGGGCTGAGGAGACACACAGAGAGTGGATATTAATGTGATTCAAGTTTCAAAAATAATACAGTTTATTATCTCCAAAACAAGGGTAAATTCACATTGGTTAAATTTACTGTAAGTCAGAATTATTAGCCCCCCTTTCATTTTTTTTCTTTTTTAAAATATTTTCCAAATGATGTTTAACAGAGCAAGGAAATTTTCACAGTATGTCTGATCATATTTTTTGTTTTTCTGGAGAAAGTCTAATTTATTTTATTTCAGCTAGAATAAAAGCAGTTTTTAATTTCTAAAAAAACATTAAGGTCAAAATTAATAGCCCAGCTATTTTTTTTCGATAGTATACAGAACAAACCATCATTATACAATAATTGCCTAATCACCCTAACCTGCCTAGTTCACCAAGTTAAGCCTTTAAATGTCACTTTAAACTGTATAGAAGTGTCTTGAAGAATATCTAGTCAAATATTATTTACTGTCATCATAGAAAAGATAAAATAAATCAGTTATTAGAAATTAGTTATTTAAACTATTATGTTTAGAAATGTGTTGAAAAAAATCTGCTGTCCGTTAAACAGAATCTAGGGGAAAAATATAAACAGCGGGGCTAATAATTCTGACTTCAACTGTATATTTACATATCACACATTATTAATGCCATCAAGTTTGTGTTACTGTTTGTTATTAATATTGCTACTACAATATTATGATGATTGTTATAACTAAATAAAGTATTGAACAAAAATATATTTTGAAGTATATTAGCTGTTATGGTATATACTTTAATAATTGTAAATAATAAATCATTTTATAAAACATTAACTATTATTATTATTAATATTGTGACCTTCATAACAGCTATTGAGCAATTAGCTTAATTGTAGGTCATTTTAAGAATATTATTTTACAATAATGTATATATATATTAATAAATAATACAAATAATGGCATGTCACTCCACTGTGGTAACCCCTGAAAAGGGAATAAGCTAAAGGAAAGTGAGCAAATGAGTGAATAAAATCAATGTATATATAATATTTTATATATAATAATCATATAATAAATGTTTATAAATGTATATACAGAGAGAGAGAGAGATTATAAAATACTGATTTAGAACATTAAATTGACAAAATAATTAAGCAAAAACTGCTTATATAAATCATATATTATTTATAAATAATTATGTATTATAAATATTAATGTAGTGTTTTAAAATATAAACTATTATATTATTATTATTTTAAAAATAGCAATTTTAACAATAATTCTGCAAGAAATGCCACTGTTTCCAAGTCCAATTAGACCTAAACAATAACTTATGCTAATTTGATCTTTACATAAATATTTCTGCGTGTTTGTTTGTTTTTTACTGTTTTTATGCGTTATTAAAAATTGAGCCTGGAAGCTGTTGCGAAACACTTGAGTTTTTAAAAGCTCAGCCTAAATGTGTTTTATAAACACAGCTCATAAGCAGCTGTTGGTACAGTTGAATTATTATTAGCCCCCCTGTTTGTTTTTTCCCCCCAATTTCTGTTTATCGAAGAGCAGATTTTTTCAGCACATTTCTAAACATAATAGTTTTAATAACTTATCTCTAAAAACTGATTTACTTTATCTTTGCCCTGGTGGCAGTAAATAATATTTGACTAGATATTTTTCAAGACACTTCTATACAGCTTAAAGTGACGTTTAAAGGCTTAACTATGTTAATTAGGTTAACTAGGCATGTTAGGATAATTAGGCAAGTTATTGTATAACAATGTTTTGTTCTGTAGACTACCGGAAAAAAAAAAGATATAGCTTAAAGGGGCTGATAATTTACTTTAAAATTTTTTTTAAATTAAACACTGCTTTTATTCAGGCCAAAATAATACAAATAAGACTTTCTCCAGAAGAACAAATATGATCAGGCATACTGTGAAAATGTCCTTGCTCTGTTAAACATCATTTGGGAAATATTTAAAAAATAAAACAAAATTCAAAGAGGGGCTAATAGTTCTGACTTCACTGTATAATGATCTTCATAAAAAATGGAGGCTTGGAACAGGAAACAGTAATATTTACAGCACGACTTAACATGAGAAAGCTATGAGTTATCTAAAAGGAGTTATTCTGGGCTGTTATGTTGATAGAGACATGCTGCATGTGCACAAAACATTCACAGCACAAACACACACGGTTTAGAGGAGCATGCATGATAATGATGCATGATGGAGGAGCATGCATGATGCTGATAAAAGCACATTAACAGTGGTTCATGAAGGAAAACAGAGCTGGGGAGGAAACACAGATGATGATGATGATGATGATGATGATGATGTGGCACAGGAAATAAACACACACACATATACACACAACTGTGAAAGCATTGCAGTGCAAAGAGCACTCGTGTCCACAAACACTGCACGATAACACACACAAACACCATTTGCAGCCTGCATGAAAACACTGCGGTGATGAAGCTCTTCATTTGTTGTGTGAAACGTGGAAACAAAGATAATGACTGAACATTATCCAGCTTATTACACGGCTGCTTGGTAAATAAATCAATAAATGGACATTAAATATTGATGTTTACAAGGAAATGGGAAATTTGATACGCATGAAATTAGTACAGCAAGTAGGACTGTAATTGACTGATCTGTGTCGGTTATTCATATGGATGCTGAAGTTTGAGCTGATTGAGTTAGTGGATTTGTAAAAGGGTTTGATCATGTTATTCAAAAACTGTAATACACTCTTAAGAATGATGGGCTGAAATATGGACAATTAAAAAAAAAAAAAAGCATTATTTAAATGTATGTAAATAAATTAACCCAACATTTGTTCATATTTGACCCAACACCAGGGCAGTTAGGACGACTCAGAATTTTTTAAGAGTCATTAAATTTTAGAACATCTTCAATGATGATATTCTGAACCAAGTCTAAAGAGCATGCTTGCTTGACACTTGAAAACCAATGGAGTTTATTCTTGCATGTCACATGGCAAGTGTGATCATCTACAAGAACCAACGGGGTTGTTTTCATGTGCCAGGTTGGTTTGGTTGAGCTTCTAACTATGTTTATGTGAATAAAAGCCTAAAATACATTGGTTTAACACAGGGGTGGGAAAACTTGGTCCTGGAGGGCCGGCGTCCTGCACAGTTTAGCTAAAATTTTAATCAAACACACCTGCTTATAGATTTCTAGTGGTCCTGAAGACATTAATTAGCATGTTCAGGTGTGTTTGATAAGTGTTGGAGCTAAACTATGCAGGACAAAGGCCCTCCAGGACTGAGTTTGCCCACCACTGGTTTAACATTTAAAGAGAGTATCTTCAGAATTATTGGATTAAACCACTTTATTTATTTTCATCGTTTATGGATGAACAAGATTTTAGTGGAGGGAAATCTCTTTAATTTCATTCAGAATATTTTCATTAGTGTTCCAAAGGTTGATGAAAGGCTTGAAATGAACAGATTTTTTTTGGAGTGAACAAAAAACCCTTTATCTTTAACCTTGTTGAAATATATATATTAAAAAAAGAGTTTTCGAAATGAGCGAGGTTAGTGGTTTGCATAACAAAAACAGCTTTCATGTAAGGTTAAAGCCACCAAGAGTATGAAATTTAGTAGTTTCAGTTTTAATTCTAAATTTAGGGGGGAAATGTTAATTGTAGTGTGAACGATTTGTAAAAATGTTAGTTGAAAGTCAATCACATAAAGCATTTACGTGCAAATTGTTGCAATTGTCAAATTGGTATATCCCAAAGAGCCATGAAATAAATTAAAATGTAGGCTTTGCACTCTGAGCTTAACACTGGGTCAGCATCTGGTTAGCAATGTGCTAATGTTAGCACTAACAAAGCTCACAACATGTGCTAAAGGCACAAATAGTGAATTACCAACCTAGAAATCCAGCAATTTAGAACAAAAAAAAAAGTTAAAAACAACCCAGGGTTAATAACTACAGTGTGAAAAACCCATATAACAAAACAAAATGAAGCTTTAGGTTAGCTGGTTGACCAATCCTGCTCCCAAAGGGTCAACTTCCTGCAGAATTTAACTTATACCTTGTCTGATGTCTTTGATTAGCTAATTCTGGTTTGTTTAGTTAGGGCTTGAGCTAAACTCTGCAGGATGGTGGTCTTCAGGAACAATTCTGGACAGCCTTGATACAGAGCATTACTTAGCAGAAATATATTCAATATAAAAGTGTGGCCACATTAGTCAAATTTCAGCAAATTTTAGTGGGAATAAAAACCCCCTACTTGTCCATTAAAACTAGCATAGAAATGCACTGTGCGGAGCATCTCTCACAGAGCATATTTGAGCATGTTAGGTTGTCATCAGTGCAGGCATGGAATCAGTGCTTTCTCTGAGGGGTCATTTAAACAGCACCACAAAGTATTTTAGTCATATACATAACAACCATGTTTTCAAGAGCTGAAAAGGTAGAGGTATGTGTACAGGTGTGTTTGACAAACTAAAACAACAACTGCAAATTACATGTGCATAGATAGAAGGTGTTTCTTTACAAAGTGAAATCGCCTGGCATACACGATACATGATTTACACACACATTCTTAACTCAAATAAGCCATGCATGCATGAAGGTTTGTGAACACTGACTCGTTTTCTTCAAACGCAATTAAGTCCAGCATGAGAAGTATCAATCTGCTTTTTGACAGAATATTTAAAAGCATATGTGATATGTGACAGGAACATGTAGGAGTTTCCAACTAAACCACTTCTATGGTGCATTGTGTGAAGCAGATAAGGATGATTTGGCATCAGTTTAGTAACAGATCATAACTGTTTATGATGTACTGATGGTTTTTAATGTTATTTGTCATCATAGCAAATTAAAGGAGGCAAGACGTGTGCACGAGTATCCTACTATGACGATTGAGGCATGACGCATGTGTGAGTAATTAAAAATGCTTCAACTTTTTAAAGCCTACATCTTGGCATATTTTGGTGCTTGTAAGTTTGCTGGGACATGCATGTTTAGTTCATATGTCTGAAGAAAAAAAACTAAAACTGAATATTGAGGATTTAGTGTATCGTTTATGCAACATGATGTATTGTGATATCAAATTGAACAGAATCAATGATGTGATAACAGTAATTGAATTTAACCGTTAGAACAGCATACCCGGTAAAAATGCTGGGTTCTCGCTCTCCCTCGTAAAGCTAATATAGAAGTAACTGAAACTGCAGTTCATCGAAATTCTGTTAGGTATGGCTCCAAAATAGGGCACATTTATAATGACCCGATTGTTAAAATGGCCAAATTTACAGCAGGAAAAAAAGCTGTTCACAGCCTGGTACAAAAAGTATTTTGGTGTATATAGCTAATATTACCCTTCATGACAACTGTGAGGTGATGAATTTTATTATAACTCACCCGTTTCATATAAATTAAGTTATGTTAAGTCTGCATAATTAAGGGGCGTGGCCACTTGAGTGACAGCTAGGTCTCGCTGGTCGCCGTCACTTCAGCTTAGCTAATTAGCTGCTGAACTCTGAATGTACATCGTATTTTTGTTTTGTTTTATGTGGCTTTACACAGTTTTTCTTTATTTCTTACAATTAGCAGATGATATGGCATGCTGTGTGCACTTAATTGTGTTCACAAACCATTCACCAGGCCTCCTTTTTCAAGATGAGTGAAATTTTATATATATCGTCACCTTAGAATTATAAGGTTCTATCTGACATTTTTATCAAAATTGAGTTATTCACATATTCTTTTTAAATGGCAACTTATTTACATTATGTGATGTGTTTTTATACGTTGTTTACATTTTAAGGCTTTTTATTAAAAAAATTAAAAAGGTGTATCTACAAAGTTGAACTATAGCTTGGCTCTAGAAGGTTCTATCTGTGAGCCAATTAGCATTTTTAATGCATGCACGAGGACCAATCAGGATCAGCATTCTTTGTCATTTCACCAAACTGCTCCATTGACAGCAGGAAACACCAGAAAGACAAAAGCTGCGTCCCAAATCGCATACTTATGCACTATTCTACGCCATTTTGTAGTATAAATAGTGTAAGTAGTGTGTTCACACTGAAAACTCTTAAAATAATAAGTGCTCTTTAATTACCCGGATGATGCACTCATTCAGCCGCTAAAATGAAGTGTGTAGTGATGGACACTTCACGCACTCAACGACCGCAGGTTTGCTTACGTAGCGGAAGGGGCGGAGCTATCGGACGCACATGTTGGATAACTTTATTTATTTTGGATGGAGAAAGCAAAATTCTACTACGAGAGTGATTATATCGCCTCCCGATGGTGAATGCGGCAGTACTCACGGCAGGTATTATTTGATAATTCGGTCGTTTATTTCACTAATTTGGCAACTGTCAAATGTCATCAGGGAAGCAGTTTGAATTTCCGTTTTGTAAAAAAAACATTAGTGTGCCATTTGGGACAACACTACATACATGTACTATCCTGTTGAGTGTGTAAGTGCATAAGTACATAGTGCATGAGTGCATAGTGTATAGTGTGCCATTTGGGACGCAGCTTTAATCACACAAAATCAGAGTCAATAAAATAATGCCACACCACACAAAATTGAAATGTGTGTAAATGTAATGATTTAGAAGCATTTCTTTACACTGAGATTCATTCATTCATTTTCTTTTCGACTTAGTCCCTTTATTAATCTTGGGTCGTCACAGCGGAATGAACCGCCAACTTATCCAGTGTATGTTTTACACAGCGAATGCCCTTCCAGCTGCAACCCAACACTGGTAAACACCTATACACACTTAATCACACACATACACTAGGGCCAATTTTAGCTCATCCAATTCACCTGTACCGCATGTCTTTGGACTTGTGGGGGAAACCAGAGCACCCAGAGGAAACCCACGCAAACACGGGGAGAACATGCAAACTCCACACAAAAAATGTCAACTGACCCAGCCAAGGCTCGAACCAGTGACCTTCTTGATGTGAGGCAATCGTGCTACCCACTGCGCCACCGCGTCACAAACATTCAGGTGAAATGCTCAATTTTATATTGTTGAAAAAGAAATGAATATTTAAAAATTTGTACATTAAATGTAAAATATATTCATTTGTGTATATATAGTCAGTGAAATACTTTTCAGTGCTTATTAAACTAATTTGTTCATTGTCTGTTTCTTTTAAAGTCCATAAGTTTAATATTAAGCCTTGAAGGGCAAATACTTAATTTATTTCATGGGCATATAATTCAATAAATATAATTTAATAATTTATTTAAAGCTTAAAATTTTATAAATATGAACATTAATTAGATAAAATTAACAGCTGCACTGGAAAAAAAAAGAACAGCCTTGTATGCTTAATTTTAAAAGAAAAAATGTTTATCCTAAAACATGAAATAAATGTTGCAGAAAGCAGAATTTTAACTTTCTCAAGCATCAACATGTTGTTACAACACTAAACTATATATATTTTTATTGTATTTCTTGATAAGTAATGCTTCAATGAATGATCTGCCAGATAGAACCTTATAATTCCAAGTGGAAAATGACTTTTCAGAATGAGAAGGTTCTACCTTGGTTTATTTACTCCAATTTGCAAATGTAAGAGAACTTTGAAAATTGACATTTAGAGAACCCTTAGGGTCTCTGTCATGTTAATGTTTGAAAAAGATCTGTTACACACATGTTGTTTGCTATATAGAATGTAAAAACTTTGAAGCTCAATATCTCAAAATCATTCAGAACGCAGATAGGACCTTATAATTCTAAGGTGACGATATATATATATATATATATATATGCTTTATTTAAGATCATTTACAATGTTCTATAGAACTACAATGCACTACAGAATCTGACAGATTGATTAGCTGTAGGCTCTAGAACAGTCATCTGAAACATTGTCATACAGATTTACGCCTGGATTTCATAAATAGCCTTACATCGACTCACACAGACTATTTTAAGTGTTTGGAAGTAATTTGTGATTTCCTCCTGTAGAAAAGCATCATAAACCGATGCTTAAAAGCTCAATGTATTACAACAGTGTTTTTAAAAGTCTAAACACTTTATTGATATAGTATACAACCAAGTACATGTGGTCAGAACACAAACGAGTTGCAGGTGCTTCATTACCTGCGACTCGTTTGTGTTCTGACCACATGTGCTTGGTTGTATACTATATCAGTAAAGTGTTTAGACTTTTAAAAACACTGTAAAACTCTTAAGCGTTTTCCCCAAAGAAAAGCCTGCCTAAGCAAAATGTTAGCAGGCATCAGTAGCTCCACATCTTTGCCCCTTTTTTGGTAACCCACGGTTGGTGCGATGATGCATGAACAACACTGCCGACAGTTGGCCACGCCCATTTGAAGCTTCATTTGCGCTCTTCAGAAACCTATGGGTGACATCACGGATACTACGTCCATATTTTTTACAGTCTATGGATTCACACAATTCCTTCATGTTGTCAAACCACAAACCTATTAAGTTAACTTCATACTTTTTATAGATTTAAGTGGATTAAACATAAAACAATTAAGTTGTCTCAAAGAAATCTTAAGAATTGTGTTGTTTCAATAATTTTTTGAGTATCACAACCCTAGAAACGTCTCATTACTATGGATTTAGAAGTCTTTCTTGGCTCAAAATATGATAAAAATATGTTCTCATCTTGACACTACCACTAGCTGATGAAGTATTGTTAATGCAAGGTCACCGGTTTGCATGTTATCAGCATATTAGTGTGCATGTAAACATGTAAGCGAAACTTTTCAAAAAATGTGTGTTAAAGTAAACAGATTTATATTGCTCAACATTTCAGCTAAAGTGGAGTTTTATAAAACAGATGACAATAATAGCAGCACTGATTTCACATCTGCACTTCTAACGAAGATTTAATTGTGTTTGTTTAAGAGCTGGATACACAAACCGCATCCAGCATCTCTTAAAATGGCCAGCAAGAGCGACACAGAAGGGTTTGCTTATTGTTAGCATTGGCTGAGAGAATGAATGCCAACCGGAATGTTTCCACAGGGATTGGCTCTCGGAAGTCACGGGCCAAAGGTCACTCACTCGCCGATCCATCTGCCAGGCGGCATCTGCGGACATCAGCCAATCATATTACACCACAACAAAGGCAAAGCTCAAAGCAAAGCTTTGTTCCCATGTATTCAGGGTCAGAAAAACTGGCCTTCAGATCATTTTCAAACGGTAAGGAAAGGAAGCATGGCACGCATGAATATCATAAGACTCATTGTACCAGGTTTGTGTGCTTGATAAACTCACACTGCAGGGTTCCAGGGGAGAGTATGTCTTCATCCATGTCATCCAGGTCATCAGATAGCAGGAGATGTTGAGGTGTTGAGGGGCGGATGCCTAGAAAAGCAGGGTCCACATTGAGGGCAGCGGCCAGAGATGACATGCCTGGGTTGTTGACGATATTAAAGTTCGTCAGAGACTCAATTTGCTGCCACCGATGGAGCTTTTCTCTCAGAGCTGCCGTCACTTCTCCCAGAGCCTTTCTGCAGATGTGAGAGAGACGAAAGGTTTGGTTTAGATGCTGTGAGTTAGTGCTGTGACCGTCATTAATATTGAGAAGTAAAGCCCCCCTTTTATTAATTAGGAATGATTCCACATGATATTTATTAATGCTGCTCTGTTCGTTTGGAACACCAACACTGCCCCGGTTTCCATCAAGCTGTATTAATGTCCTTTTTAAAGTATACAAGTAATAGAAATGACAAATCGTCACCTTAGAATTATAAGGTTTTATCTGAAATTTTTGTCAAAATTAAGAGATTGATATATTCTTATTAAATGGCAACTTATTTACATTATGGGATGTTTTTTTAAAAGTTGTTTACATTTTAAAGCTCAATATCTCAAAATCATTCAGTTAGCAGATACAACCTTATAATTCCAAGGTGACGAAATTTCAAATAAGGTTTTTTTTTATTCTTTTTTTTTAAATTCTTTTTATTCTTTAATACACAAAAGTTTTTCAAGAGTTCACACTTAGATATCACTTTATGCTATTAGCAATGTCCCGGAGAAAACCCTGAGCTTGGAGATAATTAAGAACAGAGCTCCCAATCCGTCTTTAGCATGTAAGGAGGTCCGAGATCAGGTGAGTCTCGAAAGCTCCTTTTAGTAAAGAAGGAAAAGGAGGAGATGGGGTGGAAGTAGGAATTTTTCCAAAACTAAGATAAAAGAGTAGGGTGAAATCGATCTATTTATAGTAGGCTTGGATCATTACTGATTGGATTATTACTGATGACAAATGAAAGACCTGAGACTGATCCTATCATGGGCTTCTCTCAAAATTAGTTTTAAACCTTCACTTACGCTCGCTTGAGGTGGTTTTAAAGAGCCCATATTATGGGTTTTTGAAAATTCCCCTCCATGTAGTGTAACACAGCTCTAAGTGAAGTGAAGTATCCAGCTAAGGCTTAAATCTGTTAGTGTACAGTGTTTAAAACTGTTGATTCATCTATAAAAGAGTCGACTCATAGTGCTTCAAACGAGTCGCCTTGATACCGATTCATTAGGTGTTTCGCCATGACGTACGAACGAAACCAAGTTATTCACGTGCACGCGCAAACCTGGGAGATTTCAAACCTGAGGCCCCGCCCTCTGACGCAGAAACCCAGACACACACACACACACACCCACAAACACACACACACAAACACGCCGGTCGATTGAAGTCACACTGCAGATGGATATATATTGAGTCTCTACCTAAAGATGAAACCTCAGCATTATAGCCAAGCAGTTGGAAACTACTGGAAACTTCTGGAAACTACATGCTACAAAGAATACCTCATCTGCGTTTGTTAAAGGAAGGATCAGTAAAGGGTAACTTACTGATGGACGTCAGGATAGATTTTTCTTCCTCCATTTCTCAAGTGTAAGTACGTGCGATTAAAGTTGCCTTGTTTACTCTAACTTGCAAATGTATTTAGTTGTGATTTGTTACTTGTAACCGCGTGTACTGTATCAGGTTAACTTGCTATATTCTCTTATCGCGTGCAAAGTCACGTTAAAAACGCGACGCGTGCTGCTTTGTTAACGGAGCTCCGTGGACGAGGAGTAGTTTGTGTCTGTGTGTGCGTGTGCGCGCGCTGTCGTCCGGAGGTTTGTGTGTATGTGTGTGTGTGTGTGTGCGCGCGCGCGCGCGTTGTCGTCCGGGGCACGGTTAAGTGCGTGTGTGTGTGCAATATGTGTGTGTGTCTGTGAAAAGAGCAGAGTGAGAAGCTAGGAGATCTCCTCAACTGTTATTGGAGTTTTTGCTCAATAAAATAGTTAGTTGTCTGAATTTTCAAGTCCATAGTCTGTATTTACATGACCCACTGGCAGCTAAAATCCACGCCTACACTATCGAGCGTGTATGAACTGTGATTACTTTTATATTGCTGATTAGCTGTTGTGCATTTCACTCTCTGACTGAAGGCAGTCGACCAATCGCAACAGACTGTCATTGGTCCAATCAGCGCAGATTAGCTTCGCGCTAAGGAGGGGTTTGGGAACAAATGAACCACTGGACGATTCATACAGGAGTCGCTGGGATAATTAGGTAAAAATTAATGCAGATTATAAGACCACGAAAGTGTTTTTTGACCTTGCATGCATATTAAACTGTTGTTGGAGACCCTTACAACCAAGATATGACCCTATTTCATGTATAATATGGGCTCTTTAATAAATGTGAATAACGGGAGATGGTAACAGATCTGACGTAGTGAATATTACACCCACACAACCAATCAGCTGTCTCCTAGTTTACATTTAGATTTTTGTTTCATCGTTCGCGAAGTTTGAAAAGATTTGCCTCACGTCAAGATGGAAACCCAGCTAGTAATGTTTGTGTTGCACATCTCACAATTCAATATTATTGTCCATTCATTTCCATTGTGAGTCTTTGGTCTTATTTTTGTCTTTTGGATTCAAATCTAAAGAAGGCAAATTAATATTGAATGGTCTTCAAGTCTTCAACACAAGTACAGTCAAAGTCTCTTTAAGGCAAGTCATTTCACTTAGCAGCCATCTTTGAAACACCAGTTTGGTCAGGCATTCTGTTTAAACATGGAAACATCAAAGATTAAACTCTGTATTAGGGATCACCAATTAAATTAAACAACAACTGTTTCTTTAGTTTCATTTCTAAATGTTTAAATCATACAAAATACAAAACTCTTGTCTGGTCCGAGACCCTCCCCTGGAAAATTGTCAGTCTATAGCAGGGGTGCCCAAACTTTTCCATATTATGGGCCAAAAGCCAACTTTGGTTGAGGGCTGTGGGCCGAATATATACCAAACCGAATTTATAGTATATACCAAACTGTATTGCATTAAATTTGCCATGGGGAATTACCAAGTTTAATTGCTCATATTTAAAAATAATTGGAAAATGTAAAAAAACTAGAAAAACCAAAACAATCCCATTTATAATAGAATGCACTTCAATGCTGAATGTATTAGTCGAGCTATTCCTTCCTTTGCTCGCCGATGTCTTATGTATTCACATTTTTATAGTCTGATACATTTACAACATTTAAATTCAGTTGGCTTTTTGTAGTTCAGCAATAAAACAATGAAATAATCACACACATCTCTTTAACAATACCTCTGTCAAAGGAATTCCCACAAGCACCTTCCCATCATTTTCCCTCTTTGTTCAGATGGGATGGTGGGCCAAGGTTAGCCATAGGTCAACTTTGGCCTGCGAGCCCTACATTAGGCATCTCTGATCTATAGCAATCAATAGTTGGCTCCTGCACTAGAAGGTGGAGTCTCATTTGTCATATCCGCTTGTTAAGTCGTGACGTATCGGTGACGTATGGAATCTTATTTTGGGGTCCAAGCCACTACTTTTTTGAATTGAGAAAATATTCTTTTATGGCCACTGTTTAGCCCTATCACACATTAAAGTGAATTTATATAAAATCATATGGTGCATACGAAACCACCTACTACTCATTAGGTATCGCATTTGAGTTTAAACGTATTACTCAGCCGTTACAAACGTACGTTTTATACATTATAAATGTGAAAAGTATGAACGGAATTTGGATGTACTACATCCGACCTTTTGTCATACTCATGTGAGTTGCGTCGTTTTACTCCCATTCATGAATTCTCTTGAGGGCATCATGGACTTCAGAATCTCGCCGGAAGTAGTTGAGTCATCCGGGTACTTCTTGCATACTGACTTTTGAATTCTTTGAATTCGGACATACTACTCAGCTCACATCCTCATTTTAGCGTACTATATAGTATGGAAGTATACGGTTTCGAAGGCAGCCATAGTGTACACAACAGTCTTTGGACTTGCTGCATCACAAATACAAAAAATGTAACAATTTATAAAAAACAAATCACTTTCTGGCCATCTGATATTAGGCATGCATGTACATATTGCGATTGTGATTTTCTACAGTATTAGCAATTGGACCCGGAAGCCGATTCGCGAGATGTCACAGTTAACAAGCGAATTACATACGTAGAGTACATTTTTATGTGTGTTTTAATAGCCAATTGTTCTGTACCACCTATTTGGCCACAAAAGAGTTAAGCTAGACTCACAAATGAATGTTATTGGTTTACAAATAATTGTCTCCAGGGCCCGGTTTTTCAAAAGTAATCCACTAGGATTTTGGATAAGGGATTGGATCAAATCCTGAAAATGGGTTTTTCAAAAGAAAAAACAGATTACATAATCGGATTAGATCACGTAATCCAATCTTGGTTTTGATCCGGATCAAACCTTTAGTTTGGGTTTTTCAGACCTTTTTTGTAGGATCTGGATCACTTTGATCCAAAAAATGTGGATTAAACTGATCCTATCAGAAGGGTGGATTTAGCGTTGATTTCATGGCCAAAATGGAATGAAAACTTAAAAAAATTATTAAATAAAACTATATTTGGATCATGTAGTATCTTACAAGATATAATATTTATTCATAAGGTTTTAATTTTATTTGTTCATCTGTCAGGCTATAGTGATTATTGGCTTTAATGTATTTAGACTTTCAATATAGGCCTACAGCAAAATAGAAAGAGTTTGGCCTCATAAAATAATCCCCCAAACAGCTGTCAAAACTGACCAAAAACAATACATTTTATTCTGTTACTATATTTATATACAATTGTAAAAAGAGACTGGGCAGAAGTTCAGCTTCATCTGGCAAAGGAACAACTGACTCTGACCAAACTGCCGCAAACCAAGACCACACTTGAGATCTGCCTCCTAAAGAATACACTCAGACAAGCTGCTCCCTCCACATCAGATGAGGAAGTCTGACATTATTGTTGAGGTTTCAACATTTTCTTTTTTTTTATTCAATACATCTATATTTAAAACTTATTATAAAGATAGATCTCAGATGAGCGGACTGCTGGAAGAGGATGTGGTGGGGTTTTCTTGCTTTTATTATTTATCATTATAATTATTTTATTATTTATAAAATGTTCTTAGTTTTCATTTCAAATAAAAATAAAGTTATATTGACCCCACACTGGCTATTCTACTTGTTGCTCTTTACATAGGCCTATCTATCCATCTACATTGTGATTGAGCGCTGGTAATCCAGATTTAGTGATCCTGAAAAGTTCCTATCCGGATCAGATAGATCCAATCCAATGTTGCTTTGAAAAACTGGCTCAAAAAGTAAGCTGGATTACGTGATCACGGATCGCAAAAACAGGATTACTAAATCCGGATCAATTTTTTCCGGATTAAACCTTTTGAAAAACCGGACCCAGGGGTCCGTTCTTCGTACGGGAATTAATCAGTTAGCTGGATGTGGATATTGACAATTTGACATGATCCAGGATCGTTTCGTTCTTCAAAGCTGATCTGGGAGTTGTTGTCATAGCAACAGTTCTGCTAGCTCAAACCTGATCGGAAGCAGGTTCAATTTATATAAACAGGATTAGATCGGCTCAGTTGAAGCAAAGATAATAGAGAAAATACCGAATTATGATATTTTCTTACAGTAGTAGTTATATACACTTGGGAAAATAGTAAATATTTTTAACTATATATATAAAGTTACAGTTATTAATAAAATAAATAAAGTTATATTAACAAAACTTATGCAATCTGCACCCTCGAAATGAAAGTACAAAGAGAAAATGTATTGATATGAACTTTTTAGATCGCTTTAGTACAATTTGTGTATGATAATAGAAATGCAGAATATGTGACTTTTTTTAAAAAAAAGAAAAATTAAATTAATGCAGTCATGAACATGTTTTGACAGTTAATATGCCAGTGATTATACAAAAGTTGCAGATACCTTTACCAATATCAAAATGCTTTTGTAAACATCCAGTTATTCCATACAGCGATTAAAAAAACGGCTACTGTAATAAAGAAAATCTTTTCTAAATGTAGAACTAAATACATTAATTTGCATTGAAATCCATGATAAATACTCTTGACACATGAAAGTGTAAAGCCTGCAGTTCACAACATATGTGGAGAGTTATTGCGTGTCATATTTAACAAACGGTTTACTGCTAATTTGATGTAATTTTGCTCACATGGATAATTGAATATTAATTAGATGATGTCATTACGCTGCTGTGTAACAAGACCAGAGAATGTCAACACAGGAAGTGTTGTTTTTAAATACACAGCTGAAACACAACACTGCACTAATACAATAATTGTGCGCAGCAATTAGCCATACTTACACAAACCTTGTCAGCTTCATGTGACAAACAGCCTCATTCCAAGAAGCAAGAACAGAATCTGATGCATGTCCTCTGCTGTTTTTGATGAGGCCGTTTGAAAAGCGCATGGAAAGGGCAAGTGATGCTGCTTCCCCTAAACGTGTCTATATTTGAAATAATGAAATTGAGCTCACAAAAGATGTGAACGGCCCGTACAGCTTTCTTCTTCGAGCGAGATAGAGAAATGAATCAGCCTAACAGCTTATATAAATGTCACAAAAGTAAGCCTTAAAAGACGCAAAAGCACATTCATGTAGAGATCTGCGCGGGACTAAATTTTGAATCCCGCTCCTGCCCGCACCCGCCAGGTTTTAGCCGGAACCCGACCGCTCCCGCTTATATTAAGCACTTGATGTCCCGCTGCCCGACCCGCCCCGTTTTCTATCCGCTTCGCCTGATCCTGCTAAAGAGCGGGGGGAGAACAAAACCGAAAATCACCCAGTTATACAGTCCAGACAGCCTATAACAAGCTGTTTGTATAAACACACACACCCACAGCACCAAGCACACACACACAGACAAAGCTTTCTCTCTCATTCGTGCGCGCGTGCCCTCTAACACACACTCATAAGCACCAAGCACAAACACAGGCAAAGCTCTATCTCTCATTCACACACACACACACATCTCTCATTCACGCGTGCGCATACATACACACACACACTGCAACAAACAAGCTAAACACAGCATCGCGCTATTTCATTTACACACATACATACGCGTGCTCACTCGGGAGTCGGGAGCGATATTGCTAGACAGCCCGCTCCCATCCCAAATTAAACCCGTTACCGTACGCTCCCGTGATTTATTCGGAAATTTATACCCGCGCCGTAGAAATCTGGTCGGGTCCCGCGGCGCCCGCGGGACAGCCGCGGGAATGCAGACCTCTACATTCATGTACAGTTGAAGTCAGAATTATTAGCCCCCTTTGATTTTTGTTTTCTTTTTTAAAAATTTCCCAGATGATGTTTAACAGAGCAAGGACATTTTCACAGTATGTCTACATACCACAGTTCCACAGTAATATATTTTCTGCTGAAGAAAGTCTTGTTTGTTTTATTTTGGCTAGAATAAAAGCAGTTTTTAATTTTTGTTTGAAATTACGGGAGTTTTCCGGGATAAATAACAAAATAGGTGGGTGGCTGGAGATGGTTCTGAAATACGAGGAGTCTACCAGGAAAAACAGGTACGCTCACACATACACTCTGCACTCTGACTACTTTAATATTGTTGATAAGCCGTGGTGGGTATTTCACTCTGTCTCGCGCTGAACGCTGACGACCAATCGCAACAGGTTGTCATCGGTCCAATCAGCGAAGATTAGCTTCACGCTAAGGTGGGGTTTGGGAACAAATGAATTGCTGGACGAATCATGTGGGAGTCGCTGGGATAATTAGGTAAAATAAATGCATATTAAAAGACAACGAAAGTGCTTTTTGACCTTACATGCTTATCAGACTTTTGCTGGAGACCCTAAAACCAAAATATGACCATATTTAATGTATAATAGGGGCTCTTTAAACTATAGAGGTGACAGGATTTATCTGTGTTTGTGTTATACTGTGTACATAACCATGTACATACAGTATACATACATTTTTTTGAGTATATTTGTGAACTGCAGAATGCATTTTTGGGAAACAACAAGATCTTTCAACTGAGTAAAAGAGAAATATAACTTTCTGAATCCAAATTGCTGTTTTGTTGACTGATTTCACTCTCCTTTCATCAAGACAGACCTTCTGACAAAAACATTTGCAGCTTTTTTCAAAAGCATGGTGAGAACTAAGAAATTAGTTTTTGTGATCTTTTTAAACTATTCGTTTAAACTGTGGTTATGGCCTTGCTGTACACTCTTTTATTGTGCTTCTTAATAAAAGTCAAAATCTGGGCTAAAATCATGCAGTCTGAACTCAGCGTTAAGTGAAATTAATGTATCAAAACTTTGACATTTTTTAAGAGCTGATTAAAACACGTCTTTCATTCTCCGTCTACATTACATAAAAAACTTTCTCTAAATGTCGACTTACTTGGCTGAGAGGATTTTGTGATCAACATCATCCAGTGAGGAGCTGTGGGCCACATGGAATGTCCCAAATATAGATGCTCGCTTCTTCTTGATCTTCTCGGCCTGTTATGGTGGACACAATTTCATTGTTCAAGCTAGTTAAAGGAACAGTAAAAGCAGATTTCAATTATTGAATGAGTATCTCACCCCTTCTTTAGCAACTATGAGCTGTCTTTCTGCGCTCTGTTTCTTAATGTTGTAGTACTGCACCTCCACCTCATGTGTGAGCTGCAGCCACTTCTGCAGAGCATCAGGAGGAGACCAGCCGCTCCTCAACTCCAGCTCCCTCTCGGCCTTCTTCAGAGCCATCCGCACCTTTCACAACCACACACACACACACTCATTAATAATAACTGCATTTTAGGATTTTGATTAGGCGATTATGTAAAGCCTCTTTCACAGCACTTCAACTGTGAATCTTTGGAAAACTATGAGGATGTTGCTGATGCGTGAAGAGAGGCAGATGAATGAAAGGACTGTTATTTTAGGCTTTGACAGACTGATAGTAAAGCACCCCCTTGAGATCAATTTGTATTATATTAATCCTAATAATTCTCATTTTCGACTTAAAGAGCCCCTATTATGGGTTTTTGACCTTTTCTAGCAGTGTAACACAGCACTAAGTAAATGAAAACATCCAGCTGAGGTTTAAATCTGAAAGTGTACCGTGTTTAAAACTATTACTCTTCAAGGAAAGAGTCGACTCAGAGTCGAATGAGTGACTTTTAGTTCGGATCTTTTGCCTGAATGCATTGATGTCAATATGCAATATCGGCAAATATGAAGTGCCGGATCTGGTAAAACGTGAACGAGCCTTTCCCTTCAAACGCTAGAGAAGTGCAGAGGATCATGGGATTGATCATGACGCAAAGATTACTATCACTAAAGGAGATTGCCAGAGATGCAGCTATGGGTAATAAAGAGGTCATTATCACAACCCCACAGTACAGATCACTTCAATGGGATGATGTAACTGGCCCATGAACATTTCATAACAAGAAGCAATTCAATCATAACTGAATGTCAAAACAGCTATCATGACATTATTTATCATTATGTGGCTCTTTTTGGATTCTCGAAAATTGGATTAAAAATGTAAAACAGGAAATAGGTTGAAACCATAGTTTTTCCTTTACATCTCTAAAAATGGTCTATACCATGTGCTGTGTTTGTTCCTGCCATTTTTCTTATGATTGATACATAAGAGATGCCGGCAGCTAGCTCTCTGCAACTCTCACATGGTCGCCCACTGAAGCTAAGCAGGGCTTCGCCCGGTCAGTACCTGGATTGGAGACCACATGGGAAAGCTAGGTTGCTGCCGGAAGTGGTGTTAGTGAGGCCAGCAGGGGGTGCCCAACCTGCGGTCTGTGTGGGTCCTAATGCCCCAGTATAGTGACGGGGACGCTATACTGCTCAGTGAGCCGTCTTTCGGATGAGACGTTAAACCGAGGTCCCGACTCTCTGTGGTCGTTAAAAATCCCAGGATGTCCTTCGAAAAGAGTAGGGGTTTACTCTGCCCACTGGCCTTTGTCCATCATGGCCTCCTAACCATCCCCATATTCCAATTGGCTTCATTGCTGTCTCCTCTCCACCAATCAGCTGGTGTGTGGTGTGCGGTCTGGCGCAAAATGGCTGCCGTCGCGTCATCCAGGTGGATGCTGCACACTGGTGGTGGATAAGGAGATTCCCCCTATTGTGTGTAAAGCGCTTTGAGTGCCCAGAAAAGCGCTATATAAATGTAAGGAATTATTATTATTATTATTACAATAACCTACTCTGCAACGCAGGATTCACCAGCAGTTCACTATTAAAGGAAGGAGCAGCAAAACAAATTAATGTACGGGACTTTGTCAGTGTAAGCTGAGAAAATACTATATGCAACGTTATATGCTATTCCTTCTATGCTAATGAAGGACTACAGAGACATTCCAAGCATGGGATGGGTCCTCCTGGTGTGGCAGAGGTTCATCACAGCTCCAATACACATCTCTGCCATTTGCTTACAGTAACTGTGTGCTTTTCACCATACACAATCGATCTGCTTGTGATCTTCCTTCATATAGCTTTGTCAAGTTTAGTGTCATTTGACAGTTTATGACTTAAGCGTTGTAGTGATGAAATCAACAGAGACATTGATTGTATTTCAATATACAATATATTTACTATTGCTGAGAGCATGTTAATGTTCTTCTCCCACACTTTATCTCCTTAACTTTGCTCTCATGTTCAGCTGGTTTTGGGGGTTGGTTTTCACTCATGTTTGACAATGCTTTGCTCAGGGTATAATAAGGAAAGGTAACTGTTGATCTGGGAGAATGGCTTTTACTCTGCGTCTCCCGCACACTGGTGTGTAGCCTCATATGCCCCACAGCAGTGCATATGTTACAGCTAAGTTTCTTTATGCAGCTTGTTAGTTTGTTTCATTCGACTGTCTGTATATTTAAACATGTAACTTAATAAACATCTTTGCCTGCTTTAAAGCGTTGAGATTCTTTCTCTTTTTCAATGATGATAACAACTTTAATGGATCAGATCAATTACGATGGAGACAGATAAATAATTGATTTTAACATGCCATCCTTCAACTGCTTTCTGTTTCCGATTATTGGTTCAGAATAGCAGCGTGATCTTCAAGCCTTACATCAGTAACTGTTACACAGTTTATATGGACCAGTTCCTACTTCCTCCAGATCCAGTAAGTGTTTCTCCTTCCTACACAAGCTGTAAGTGTGATTAAAATGGTTGCCCGGTTTCTGTAGTTTACAAAACATGTATTTAATTGTATGTTGTAAGTTGTAATCGCTCCGCGTGGCTTGTAATCAGGATGGGCCTTTCCCTCTGTCTAGCGCTAAACCCAGTTGACCAGTCACAACAGATTTTGCCATCGGACTGATCAGCACGGACCAATTAGCATCATGCAAGGGAGGGATTTGGGAACAAATAATCATGAATCATATGGGAGTTGTTGGGATAATTAGGTAAAAATAAATGTATATAATATAAGACAATAACAGTGTTTTTTGACCCTGCATGCAGATCAATCTGTTGTTGGAGACCCTTTAAACCAATAAATGACCTTTTATAATGCAAAATAGGGGCTCTTTAACATGATAGAGGAAGTGCTCAAATGTTTTAGAAAGTATTAGCTTACCTATCTAAATACCCTGCATATGCAGTCCCCTGTGTTTTTCTTGTAGAAACAGAAACTTCAAAAAAAGGCCTATTTGATTTTTCTCTGCTCTATTAAATTTCTCATATGACACTGTTTGTAATATAACGTCTAATGCCAATTATTACATTAGTATTAATTAATAAAATTTATGATGACGCAGAAAAGACAAAGTTTTTTTCATTTTTATTATTCCCTTTTCTTTTAATTAATTAATAAGTTTTTTACACTGCCAATTTTTTTCCATTTTGTTTTAAAATTACAATATGGTCTCTAACTCTATTTAACTGTTTCCATGTAAGCAATTGTTTTTCACAGTAGTTACTTAGGAAATCCTTAGACAGATTTCCTAAATTTTACAATTGACCTATTAGTAAGTTTAGGCCAGGTCTCGGACATCTTTAGGTTGACATTTTTATTTATTTTATACCATTTCCTAAACACAAACAAATCATCTTAACATCTAGAAGATCAACAAGAATGCATACATTTGTTTTAAGGTCAAAGTCAAGTCAAAAAACTATTTGTGATAAAAGCTATAAAATTTCAATAGTTCTGTAGAAACACTGCCTTAAGTAAGTTAGACAGGCAGCACTAACATTAGCTAAAGACAAAAAAAATCTAAACTAAAATATTTATTTCTGTCATCTACCAGATTTATTTGTAATTCTGTTATATAGCTCTCTATGGCATATTTAATTCCCACTTGAATGCTCAAGAGGCGGTCTTTCTTTCTTTAAAACAGCCCTGAGCAACTGTTTGTTCAAGTTTGTGTCAGTAACAAAAGGAGGTGGGGCTTACCAATCAATAGAGGTCAATTTATAGTGTAAAACATGCCTAATCTGCATGTCAGAAATACAAAGAGTTTCTTTCTTCTGTTGAACACAAAACATTTTTGAAGAAAGCTAAAACATATTGTAACCATTGATTTCCATAGTGTTTGTTCCTTTTGTTTTTCACTATGGAAGTCAATGGTTACAGGTATCCAGCTTTCTTCACAATATCTTCTTTGGTGTTTGGTGTCAGAATAGTGTTCAACAGAATGTCATCTCCTGCTGCCATATTTTTTTGTTACTTTATCTCCTTGTCTTTTACATATTTTATGTATGTATGTATGTGTATGTGTGTGTGTGTGTGTATGTATGTATGAATATGTGTAGGTGTGTATTTTGTGTTATTATGCTTTGTTTCTATTTTTAGTTGTGACTTTTTAACCTTTTGTCAAGAGTCTACAGATGAAAAATAGCCATACTTAGCTAATTCTGGCCCATTTTGCAGTAATGGTTATTGTGGACTGCCCCTGTAAACAAATAACCTAAACTAAAAAGAAAGAAACTTCTAAAGGTCTGAAACCACTTGAATGCCAGTAAATCGTAAATAAATGTTCACTTTTGGGAGAACGATCTCTTTAAGTACTTGTGGTGCTGTACCTGATCCAGCTCCTGCTCTGCATATTTCCGTCTGCTCAGCTCGTTCTCCGTTCCTTCACGCAGCTCTCGGAGTCTCTGCGCCTCCTCCTTGGCTGCTTCAATCTCGCTCCGCATCTCTCGCTCCAGGTTCACCTTCTCTTCCTCCACCGTGTGATGCTCCTCCTGTGCGATCTGCAGCCTGAACACAAACACATGATCAATCTATAGATCAATGGTCTCAAACTCAATTCCTGGAAGGCTGCAGCTCTGCATTGTTTAGCTCCAACCACAATGTCTCTAGTAGTCTAGAACACCTTGATTAGTTGGATCAGCTGTGTTTGATAAGGGTTGGAGCAAAACTGTGCAGAGCTGTGGCTCTCCAGGAATCTAGTTTGAGACCTACAGTATGCTCTAGATCAGGGGTTTCCAAACTTTTCAATTCATGACCCCCAAAAATAACCATGCCAGTGGCTCGCAACCCCCAATATCGTCTGAGGTGGTTATAAAGATATAAACCTTGCACACAATGGTGCACACATGCCAATAGGCCCAAGTCTATTCATGGATTAATGTTGGAGAACGCCACTCGAAGGCCATTCTCCATGTTTAGTATTAGCCTGAATTTATTTTTAATATACATGAGTGCCGTAAAGAGGTCTGAAAGTTTAACCTGGTGCCATAAAAGCAATCTGTTGCATCTGACACTATTGCTTTGTCTTTAATATAACGTTATCACCCCTGGGGTCGAAAGGCTGATGGCTTTTTATTTGCTTTATGTAACTATTATTATTTTTTTCTACTGTAGGTTAAGTCTACTAGTTTAAATAAAATGAATTTAATTTTTGGAAACCAAGCGACCCTCGCTCCTTGTCCCATAACCTCCCGGGAGGTCCCGACCCTTACATTGGTAACCACTGCTTTGGATGAACCACTGTTCACTTCTTGCTAAACCTGGTTAATGCAGTACCACCTACTTACCTGCAGGTGGCGTACCGCATAAATGAGTGAGAATTAAAAGGCAACTGGGTCTGCAAGATTCAACCACACCTCTTCCTTCTCCGAACAAGATGTGGCCTGTTCGGTGTGGTAATTCTGTAGTAAAACGTCCTTACAGTGTTACAGGGAAATTTATCCTCCACACTGGAAGATCCAGACGGCTAAATTTAGCTGCGTTCATGTGACTAAAATGATCCACTTTCAAGTCTTGGAGTATCTGATTCAATTTAAAATAATTGAAATCATCTTATCTGGGATATATTCATACAGTGTTGTCTTCTCTAGACTTTAAGCCGATTCCTTTTCTCCTTTATTAGTCAAAGAGAAAGGAGAAATAACAGGGGGTGGAAGGATAATAAGAGGAGTGGGTTATAAAGGCTTCTCTCATGCTGATGTAGTCCCAGTTCAAACAGGAAGTGAAGTATAAATCAAACTGTCACTGACATGACAGTGGCCAAGAACATTACAAACACTTAATAATTAGGAAGGGGAGCAGTAGATAAATGGAAAAGGAAGAAAATGAACTACAAACAACAGCTACACGAAATTATAATGAAAGAAACTGGGTAGACAGACATATAAACAGAGACAGACAGATACAGATAGAGACAGAAAGGAGACGGAAAGATAAAGACAAGAGACAGAAGAAAAGAGTAGAGAGAGACAGATGAACAGATGGATGGATGGACAGATAAATAGATAAGACAGAAAGATTGTTTTATAAGACAGAAACAGACAATACATACAAATAGAGAGAAAAGGCAGACAAACATATATATATATATATAGACAGACAGAAGCAACATGTGGACAGACAGACAGAGAGACAAAAAGAAAGCTTGACAGAGACAGAAAGATATAGACAGGCTAGAAGATAGATAGACATTTATATATAGACAAGAGATAGAGGAAATGTGTAGACAGAAAGACAGAAGGATGAACAGATATCTAGATAAACAGACAAGGATAGTTTGGACAGAAACAGACAGACAGACAGATGGAAGGACAGACGGATGGATGGATGGATGGATGGATGGATGGGTGGGTGGATGGATGGATGAATAGACACATGGACAGATATATAAATAGACAGAAAGATGTTTTGATAAAGACAGACAGACAGAGATGGACGGACAGATAGGCAGGCAGACAGACAGTCAAACAGACAGGTAGGCAGATAGATAGACAGATAGACAGATTGATGGATGGACGGATGGATGAATGAATAGATAGATAGACAGACAGACAGACAGATGGACGGACAGATGGATGGATGGATAAATGGATGGATGGATGGATGGATGGATAGGCAGGCAGACAGAGATGGACGAACAAACAGATAGGCAGGCAGGCAGACAGACAGACAGACAGACAAACAGACAAGTAGGCAGATAGATAGACAGATAGACAGACAAACAGACGGACGGATGGATGAATGAATGGATGGATGGATAGGTAGACAGACAGACAGACAGACAGACAGATAAAAAGATAGATAGATAGATAGATAGATAGATAGATAGATAGATAGATAGATAGATAGATAGATAGATAGATAGATAGATAGATAGATAGATAGATAGGCAGACAGATAGACAGACAGGATAAGAGTTTGATAAAGAGAGACAGACAGACAAACAAATGGCGACAGACTCAAAGCGAGACAGATAGATATAAGCACCACTTGTATTAAACTGGACTGCGTGATGTGGATCAAAGTGTAAACGAGGTGTCCTGACCTCTGTTCCAAAGGGGATTTAGAGTGAAGGACAGGACAGAAATGCCACACACACACACATACACACAGATCAATGTGTTGCGCCGTAACACCGGCCATACTTGCACAGTGACTTAATCACACCGTACTCAACAAACATTCCTCCGCCACAGCTTTTCCTCCAACAAACTAATACACCGATCCACATCCTTCTTCCTTATAAGGCCATTGCTTTAAATTAATGCACCGTAAAGAAAGGAAGTTTGAATCATGAGCTTCTCCGAGACCTGTGACCTCTGAAAAAAGACAGAGACGGGTTTTCTGTTCTGCCTCGGCGCAGCGGGCGCCAGCTGAACTGAGCGTGCAGCGAGATAGTGTGACTGTCTGAAGCTGGGATTCAGCAACAGTGCTGCCCGTCCTTTTGCCATTTAAGGACTTTCAAGGGATGCTTGCATCACCCTGCTAGAGTCTTTTGACCTGAACAGACAAAGATAGTAGGAAATAAAAAACAACACTTCTACTGGACACACAAGTTCCTGGTTTGGGTTTTTAAATAAGGCACTGTTGGATTTGAAGTTACCTTGAGTGTTTCAGTAAATCATGAAAGTGCTACTTCAATGGAAAAGAGTTAAGGGGAGTTTACCCAAACATCAAAATTCTGTTATTAAGTACTCACACTCACGTCGTTCTAAACCATTGATACCTGCAAAACGAAGGACTTTATTTTACAGTTCTTTCTTGTCAGTATAGGGCATGTGTTGCTGTATTGGAAATAAAGTACAGGCTCCTCTGAAGTAATATTTCAGAGGCTCAAGTGAGCATGACATGAATAACGAGTGCAAAGCGCACCCTTTACTGACACCGAGGAGAAGAAACTGTTGAGTAAAGTTCTTGTTTTGTTTTACCAGTGCACAAATATTTTCTTGTCACTTGATTATGGTTCAAATGAGCCACTGAAGCATATGATCTTTTTTTAGGATATTTTTTGTTTGTATATTTCTGGATTTTAACAAACCCAGGCTCATTCTGAAAACGTAGTCCTGTGGACGTTTCTGGAGACAGCGAAATACGCCCCGGGAAGTACATATGTTTGCAGTTTTTGTTTTTGCAAATTTGTGAGAGGCCGCTTATTTTTTGTCTTTTGTCTTTGTCTTTTTTATCATTTGTGCGCCCTTAGGCGTTCTGGTCTAAAAAGGAAGGCGTTCTGAGGCGGACCGCTGGCGCGTTGCTATTTTGAGAAACTATAATAGATTTTTCATTAGACCAAAACTAACCGGGTCTAAACTCCAGCGCAGAGTTGCGCCTCGCTTACACACTGCTTAATACGCACAAGAGAGCAATAGGCAAATATCTTTACATATGAAAAAATTTAAATATTAAGGATATATATAGGATATAATAAGAATAGATATAGAATATAAATATAAAGGATTAAAATATTACAAAACATATTATTTTCTAGCCTACACAAATATGAAAAATCACTGCTTTTATGTCTTCTTCATCTCGGGAGGCTTTTTCAGTTTATTCATAACAATTTGCTTTTTTATAATGTTATTATTATTAGCAGTATTATTTATTATATCCATATTTATATTTATTTTATTAAAAACAAGCTTAGATTTGCTCACTTGTCAGGTTTTAGACCATATAGGGCACAGCATGTGTTTTAGGATATAACTCAGGTTTTTGAGCACATTTTGTTATTATTATTCATTTATTCGTTTGCTGGAAATTAGAACTGAATTTAGAAATTGTTCTGAAACGAATATTTGCGCTTAACAAACAAAAGTATTTATTTACAGACTAATTGATGTCTGTGCGTAAAGGTTTCCCTATCCAAGAGCGAATGTGAAAGTAGTTAAGACAGAAAGTAGTTAAGTTTGCGTCCTGTAAATAGCGAATGCGCTCTTGACTCTTAAAGGGAATGGGAGATAAGACTCTAATTGGTTTATTCTCAAAACACACCTATAACTCATTAAGAAAATAAACTCAACCCTTTTAGACCATGCGCCATGGCTCAAGGCAAATTTCCCGTCCTTAAATAAACAAAAACGCATCCTGACACGCCCTGAAAGCGTTTGCGCCCTGCGTTTTGCGCTCTGCGCATGGACCGTCAAAATAGAGCCCAATAAGTTTAATATTAAGCCTTGAAGGGCAAATACCTAATTTAATTAATGGGGCATATAATTCAATAATTTATTTAAAGCATAAAATGTAATAAATATAAACATTAATTAGATAAAATAAACAACTGCACTGGAAAAAATATTTTGTACTTGTTACAACACTAAATTATATATTTTTGATTGTATTTCTTGAAAAGTAATGCTTCAATGAATGATCTGCCAGTTAGAACCTTATAATTCCAAGTGGAAAATGACTTTTCAGAATAAGAAGGTTCTATCTGCACTTATCGTGTTTTATTTACTCCAATCAGCAAATGTAAGAGAACTTTGATCATTTACATTTAGAGAACCCTTAGG